ATATATAAAGTAAAAGCTTAATTTATCATTTATTTCCACAAACAGAAATTAAATTTTGTTTCACTGTTTTATGCTGAACATAGGTCAACCGCTGACAAAACCGATGGAAATACCAGTCTCGAAAGATGTTCATTCTTCTCTTTCTTGAGCTACTGCATGTGACTCACCAAATGTTTCAGAGACCCTTTGAAATTCAAACAAGTACTCACGGCTCTGGCACTGAGGCCCGTAGTAACCCGGAGAACACACACATTGTCCTGTCACGTGGTCGCAGGTCTGCCCGGGCTGACAGTCACATGTAAGGCCACAGTTGAAGCCAAAATATCCAGGCGGGCATTCTAGAAATGCAAGATATTATGTATTAGTTTAATGAAAGCAACTTTTAAGCATTTACAACTCTGCTGATAATGGAAAAAAAACGAGCAAAAGGTGGTTGCTTACTATGTTGACAGGCGTGGCCATAGTACCCATTTGTACAGTTGCAGGTGCCAAAAAAGCGATCACATGTCCCACCACTGAGGCAAGGACAGTCTTGAGAACAATTTTCACCATATTTTCCCTGTGAACAGACTACTCACGGACAAGGATGACAGAACACATTACTGGCATTCATTCAAACATTTGTTACACTACGTACATACAATGACACCTGATTTAAAGTAGCATGAAATGCAATCGGGGAATAATGATATGCATGTTTTACTTGGTGTAGTCCTATTGTAATAGTATCTATTGGGGCTGCACAATATATCAAAGACATATGTTTTACACATGACAGGGACGACACATAATTGCATGCTTTTATCTGACTGACAAATCAGACGCAATCTAAAATGGGCATCAAATACAGTGAGCCAACTTATTTTGGAGTATGAAAAACACATTTTGTTTTTCGTTTGAGTTGGAATATTCAACAACCATATTGCTTATCACATGATTTTATCGCCTATCATGCAGGTGTATCGTAACGCTAACCTGTATCACATTCTGGTCCGGTCCAGCCAAGGCCACATTTGCATTTACCATCTTCAGGATCACACAGACCACCATTTTGACATCTGCATGTATGTCGGCACTGCAGGCCATAACGCCCCCTGGGGCAGACTGGAGAAATATTGAGAAGTTGTCAGGATATTGCAATAATGTTCCATGTTTATGTAAAATGTGCAAACGATATCAGAAATGGACTTATTGTCTACATATTTCAAGGACATCGGGACACACAACACAAATCAGAAGACATTAAAACAATGCAGCAACAATCAGAGAACAACATGAAGCACTTCTGCAAGCACTCAGAGACAACCCCTTTTTTGTTTATTTAATCAGCAGGTCATTAAAGAGAGGCAAAATAGTCCAATTTGGCACTGATATAAAGAATAATCATGTTTCTTTGGGCAATTTAGCTTGGGAAAACAACACGGAAGATGTCTTTGATTTCCATGTGTATTTATTTGCTTATTTGCCAAGTCCAGTGACATGCAACACAGAAAACGAGCTACTTATATGTCTCTGTAAACATTGAACAAGAGACATTTAAGAATTGGTGAATACACATGTGCAAGAGGATAAAGACGTGGGTACAGAGTGCATCCTGGGCTGGAAACCCCCGTTTACAATCGCTCAAATGCTGATGAACCAGATTGCTTTCTGTTTCCCAGCAAAGCAGTCTGTAATCATTTGAGACCCAACACTAGAATGTGTTTCTTTAAGTCGATGTTTACTGAAGAGACTGATAAAATGTCCAAGTTCAAGGACCGACCAAAATCGAATTAGACTGAAACAATCTGTGACGCAAACTCTCAGCCTGAACACATTTGTACATTACTAAAAAATGTTTCCTTTGAAAAGGTAACTCATTCATGTTGTTTTACTGACTTGTCACTGACTTCTTAAAGGTGTTTTGGGATTTTAATATTTTTTTTAATCATGATGACACATGAATTGAAAAGGTGTGAATCACTTACTGTGTTCATAAAGAGGTTTAAAAATGTTACATAATAATATAAGCCTATCAGCACACGTGTATAATGTTTTTTGTTTGTTTTTGTCTGCATGTATAAGAGTTTAAAAGTCACGCTTATACATAAAATATAGTACATATGTTAAGAGGAGTGTGTTTTTTTTTTGTTTTTTTATATTTTGGGATACATATAAAAAAAAACCTGCTCATGTAGTAATTTGATATGCGTAATAGACAACACCGGGCTCGGATTAGATTTGTTTTTGTACTTCTTCCTACTCCCTTTGAACACATAAACCGTGATCAACTCCGACATCCATTGACGATCTTTTCTTTCTTTCTTCTAATTTTAATTTTTATATCTTGTAATGTGTTTACCTCTTCAGTAAATCAAATCAAATCAGATAGCACTGTTTCGACATACAACATTGAGGGTATAAAATAATGTTCAATCTTATCTTTGCATTAGGTAGAAGTACAAAAAGGTCGCGTGAGGATTCATTCTAAAAATTCTCTTTGATTACTAGTGATGCCTTTCAGTACCTTGACAGGACTGCCCCATTTTTCCAGTTACACAAATACATCTTCCATTTATTGGGTGGCACTGACCCCATTCTCCGCAGGAACACACTTTAGCACAGTCTTTGCCATAGTACCCACTTGGGCAGGCTGTAGGGGAGAAACGAGGAATTAGTCCGATGGTCAAGTGAAAAATTTTTTTCAGTGCAGTCATCATCCCCGACTATTTGCCATGATTTCATATTTTGGAAGCATAGAAGGGGGAGCGATGTTAGGTTGGTTTTTGCTTTATCATGTGAGTCTATATGTCACAGTAGAAGTGTAGATGTGCTTTGATATGTCGGCTACCTTCCACAGACATGGTTACTCCTCCGTCAACTGTCCTGTGTGGCTTATTTTGAGGCATTCTGTGTATTCATATCACGCAAGAAGGAAGTCTACATTGTTACATGTCTGTGTTGCTTGTCTCAGAAGAGAACAGGCCGTATGTAAAATGGTAGACGGATAGATCAAGCAAAGAAAGGAAGGTGTTAATGTAACAAACATACGTGAGCTGCAGTCAGCTCCGATGAAGCCCGGAGGACAGCGGCATGTCCCCGTTCGGAAGTCACAGCGGCCACCATTGAGACAACGGCATCGACACTTGCAGTTTGGTCCATAAGTGCCTGAGCGACATCCTAACACAAGATAGCCAAAAAGAATACGTGGAAGGAAACATATCAAGTCGGGAGTGGTGTATTGTATGTACTGATTATCATAAAATGGGCTCAGACAGATGGATGGTTAAAAATATGGCCTGTGACTGAAGGACACTAGGTTCATTTTCCCAATGCAAGGCCATATAAAACTAAGGAATCCTTGAGCATTGCATTCCAATATTCAAGCAGAAATAAAGTGGTTTTAAAAGTGTACTCACGTAACTCACAACTTGTTCCATAGTAACCAGGTAAACAACTACAGTTCCCCGTAACTGGATGGCACTGCTCATGGTCTCCTGAACACTGGCATAGTTGACTACAGTTGTTCCCAAACATACCAGCAGGACAAGCTAACATAATACACAAAAAAAACAAACAAACAATCCAATATCACCATTCAGCAAAAACTCAACAGATATGATTGATATATGAAATGAATAAAGCAACACATAATGTGCAATGTACAAACCCCATGCAAATTTAGATGAAAAAAGGTTGAACATATTTAGCTATAATTCCAAAGGTGTTCACTTTTACTTACCCCGTCATAAGACTTTTTTCCCCTCTAATTGAGTTATTAGGTCACATTAATGGTGGAAAAAGTTTTGGAATGATAAGTACTGATCTTGTTTTTTAACACAAAACCTGGCATTTGAGCAAGGGACTATAGACTTTTATCCATCATACAATGTGTATTCAGCATACATACAAGTCAAGTAGTTTTACATTAAGTTAAAAACAATACACGTATATTTTCAGCCGTCTTCGGCAGTAGGCGGGGGACACCCTGAACCGGTTGCCAGCCAATCACAGGGCACACAGAGACAAACAACCATCCGCGCTCACACTCACACCTAGGGATAATTTAGAGTGTTCAATCAGCCTGCCATGCATATTTATGTCATGTGGGAGGAAACCGGAGTACCCGGAGAAAACCCACGCAGGCCCGGGGAGAACATGCAAACTCCACACAGGAAGGCCGGGGCCGGGATCAATAGTCCCATCCTTGTTGCATTTAGTAAATGTCCCATGTAGATGCCCATACTAAGACTGCTCCCAACAATGTAACCTCAACAGCACTGCTTTTTAACAGTAAGGTATGCACTGGCAAAAAAAAAAAAAAAAAAGGAATACAGTACTTTTAATCAGCTTATCTCATTGACTTTGACTGCGATATCTGTCTCATTATTCAGTGGGAACACTTTGCATTTGTTTTGATAGAATGTGATCAAGATTAAAAACAAAAACACCCTTAGTGTACTCACATAACATCTCATCATTTAAAAAGAGCAAAAGCAACAGAGAGGGCTTTCAAATACTGCGTAGTGTGTTGTCAGAAAGTTTCTCTCTCTTGCATTACTGGATTGTGTGAAAATATAGCGACTTTCAATCCTAACTGGTCACAAAAGTTATCGACATTCTCTGGTGCCCAAACCCAAATGGGGATAACATTTTTTCACACACCCTTTCTCCATGCACACATTTGTGCATACAACAAGAATGAACGCAATCCTCCAAACCATCAGTCATAGTGCATGAATCTGTGAACCCAACATGTTTGTGGGTGAGATCGCCGCCGCACTCAGTCAGGCAGCAGCAGGCAGCGTGGGGAACAGATAAGAAAGGACTCCAGACTAAAGAGGCAATTACGGAGCTGTCATTATGCATGTCTGCCTTCCAAAAGCCCTTATCCGCTGCTGAGGAGACAAAAACAATGCCTTCTGTTTTACTTGGCAACTGGTGTGTAACATTTATCAGATGTCTGGGGAGTATGTGCGGAGAGGAAGGGAGCTAAGGTGGTGTTGGGGGTGGGCTGGTACATAAATGGTAAGGAGCACGAGATGAAATATTACATCAAGTAGTGTAACTGTGCGCGTTTGCTGCACAGGATTATCATGTAAAAACATTTTAGGCAAACGTGGTGCACTAAGAAGCTACAACAACAACAACAAGCAACAACAATTGCCTTTCCAAACGAAGAGTTGGGCAATAAAATTCTAGAGGGTGAGTGAGAGGTTGCCTCATAGAAATGGAGGAAAAGTGTGCTGTTTGGCCATTTTCAAGGATAAGGGTGATATGCAGCATTGCGGGAACTATCGAGGAATCAAACAAAACTCCATCTGTGTGCACAGTAAGAGTGCGATTTGCGCTAGACTTGAACTGGGCTGTAAAATGGGGCCCTTAGCCTTGTACAACTTCAGGAAAGTTTTGGGCATTAGAAAAATAATAAACATTAAACTTGGAGTCCAGTAATCATCATTCAGATTGTACCTTGTGGAAACAGTGTTGACTTCAACCGTGAAGCTAATTTCAAAAAGTGTGGATAGAAGGTTTAATTTGCCTGATCGCTTCCCATTTAAACCTTACAAGAGAATTTTTCTTCAAATTATTTTCGGCATTCAGCTTGTTTCGTCAAAATATATTTGCCTTGTCTTTCTTATTTTTCTCATTTTACTCTCGCTGAGTTCAGCAGGGCATCCACAGTTCCCCGTCTCATGACAACATGACACACCAGCCTCACACAGGAAGCACCAAAGAACCCCAAGAAACAAGCATGGGTGTTCACTTACACATGCAAATGCAAATGTGTCTGAATTAATTTTCAATTTCCTCAGTGTTTTCCACAATTACGTTTGTCACACTTGGCTCCTGTCCAGCCGGGCTCACATTGGCGGTGGCCCGTCACACGGTGGCAGTTTGAACTGTATGGACACAATCACACTCAGGCTCTCAGGCCTCACTAAATAAACCGCTGGTACAACCTTCAAAACGAAAAAGACGCACTCATTTGGAATCAAAATGCAAAAGCGCTTTTTTCACGTTTCTTTTCTGCTTACTCAGTCAGCACCTAATGCACAACTTGCACCTAATGCACGGAGTTGCATCGATTTGCCCCTTCCCTGCACTTTATGAAATATGAATTCAGGGTTTTATTTAGATTCTTTTGGAAAATAACGAAAAACCATGAAAAACAAACAAACAAAAAGGAGGCAATTTAAAGGCTTGACATATTTCACATTTCCATCACTATACTTTGTCAGAAGTCAGAACAGACCTTGATTAAACCTTATTTGCTCCAAGATATCTTGGCTCCTTTGTTTAAAAGTACCCCGATGCCAAAATGTTTTTGCTAATGTCTCATTCTAGGGATAATTGTGTGTCAAGAGAGGATGTTCAGCAGCGAGGCCCTCCCTCACACCCCATTTTAATGATGTGGCTTCCATTACCCAGAATGCAATGAGGTCCTGCCCAGCCAGCGAAGCATTGGCATGCTCCTGTGATGTGGTGGCAACGGGCACCATTCCGGGACTCACACATCTGGCCACAGTCAAGACCGTAAAAGGTGTCCAGGCACACTGTGGGTCCAGTTCAAACATCAAAACGGCCAGAGTTGGCAAGTTCACAAACAAAAAAAGGATGATTTTTTTAAATTATTATTTGTCAGTCTTATTTGGCTTTTCCACTACTTCTTCACTGTCACATCAGCAAGTGAAAATGGCAAAATGAATTGTCAGTGTTTATTTGAATTTATACAACATCGACGTTCATTAAGTGAGTTGATGTTGCACACGTGTGGTGAATCGGGGACACATCAAAGTCAGCAGCAGCTCGGAGGCCATTCCCTTTTTTTGGGGCCAGAGACCCCATAATTTGAGCACCTGCTGAGTCCGCAGGCCCCACCAATGCACAACTAAACAGAACCAGGCTACTGCGCCCACTTACGGCATGACAGTCTGTTGCTTGGTGGAAGCGTCTGTTTCTCATTGTCAAATCGGCAGACGCTGATTGTTCAAGAGTGTGTAGTTGGTCGACAAAATATTTGAGCAAACACAGTACTGTCAGTGGTAACACGAACATTTCCAATAAAATGAGATTTGTGTGTTATTGTAACAGACCTTGGAATATCAAAACCTGTCATCTGAGAGCAGCTTTCATACTGTAGAATATATATGGTATAGGCTGTCACACATGCAGTGTCATTAACAGTTGGAGCATGCCTTGTGGGATACTTGTGGGTAATTTCAGTTGGCTATTGAGTATTTTTTCCATCCATCCATCCATTTTCTAATCTGCTCCATCCTCACAAGGATCGCAGGCGTGCCGCAGCCTGTCCCAGCTGTCTTCAGGCAGGAGACGCGGGACAACCTGAACCGGTTGCCAGCCACTCGCAGGGCACACACAGACAAACAACCATCCGCGCTCACACTCACACCTAGGGACAATTGAGAGTGTCCCATTAACCTGCCATGCATGTTTTTGGAATGTGGGAGGAAACCCGGAGCACCCGGAGAAAACCTACGCAAGCACGGGGAGAACATGCAAACTCCACACGGGAAGGCCGGAGCCGGAATCGAAAACTCAACCTCTGCACTGTGAAGCGGATGTGCTAACTACTTGACTACTGTGCCACCCTGAGGGCTCTAAATGACTGAACTTTGTTCATTCACCTGAAAAGAAAAAAAAAAAAAAAATCAACTTCAGCTGAGTTGATTCCATTGGTGTTGGTGCAGATAAAGGTGCAAATGCAGCACAAAATTATTGTGGTCATATTAAAACATCTTCCCCAAATGTTTCCATGAACAATGAATTCATCATAAGCTCTTAAAATATGCTAGAAATTTGGCATCTATGAATGCATACAATCGGCTTCCAAATGTTTAGTATTGGAAGAGGTCTGTGACTTGGTGCCCACCGAGCTCCATTTTACTTCCATATATATTTATAAAGTCTGAACCAATTGTCTCAGCAATGAGCAGTTTTTCAATAGACCACCTCTTCTTTCCATAAGGGAAGCAGTGGACCATGTAACCAAAGGAAGCCACAAACTGGGGCGCTCCAGAAATGTTAACTTTTGGCGGTTTCATATGCTGAGGGTGTTTCCCTTTGGTTTTTACATCACTTCCTCCTCCTTCTGATGTTGTATACTCATACCTTAAACCCTCAGCCTCAATGTGAACGAAGTACATATCCTTTCAGGCATGCCCATCACCATGTTCCCACGCTGAAAGCATGACGTCTTGGCGTGCAACGGCAGTGGTTCAGTTGTGATGTCGTTAAATCCGGCCCACTGAGGATGCCGTCACCGTAAATGAGCTCCACGGTAACACTGTTTCAAAAGTACATGTTCTTGTCTCGTGTTTACTTTTACTGAAGTTTGTGGTACCATGGCTATGCACATGCCTTTTTGTCAGATGCAGTATTTTTAGGAGAGCCTGCTCTCACAAGAATTTAGTTCAAAGGGAAATGCACACTAATGAGATCCACTTTTTTGGCATGACGGAAAAATGCTTTCTTTTTATTGACGGTTTAATGTTCCTGAATCCAAATTGCCTCAGAAACTACGGGCTACAAGTGTTTTTTTTTTTTGTGGCAACATTTTCAGCAGAGCTGATTTATACAGCATTTGCACAGAACTAGAATAGCGCTGAACTGAGTTGAACGAGTTCCAGCACAAGCCAAAACAGATCCGATAGAATTCTGATCCTTAAGATGTCCTACAACAAGGCACTGCAATCCCCTCAACACGCTAAAAACAAGAGACACCACCTACTACTGGAGTGACTCGAATCTATACTGTCAATTGATGCAATGTAACTTATGGTTTATGGTTTATTTATACCAAGAGGGAGTGAGTAGCTTTCATATTAACCACAGAAGCCTGTGCACAGTCTGCTGGTACTTGTTAGTTTAGGACCATCCCACTTCCTCTCTCAAAGTTTATAGGTAGGCATAGAAGAAATGGTCCACAATGACTAGCGCACACACTGTGTCATCACTGAAAGACTCCATCTCTGGGATAAATGAGCTCTTTAAGACGGGTGGATTATTTCCAGATCCCTGCTTGTGGAAGAAAGAGGGCTGTCAGCCCATAAAGAAGGTCCACACAGGACCACACAGTCGGAAAGAAGAGACCACAGAATGGGAATGGATGGAGAGAGAATAGAATCGAACTTCCTGGTGTCATTTACACTCAAGGAAGTCAGCATGACGATGAGCCAGTGTGGCAGTGGAAGAACAGCGCTATTTACAACAAACACAAACTATTTTTGAATATGACACCAAAGTTGCAAAAGCAAGCGACATGTCGGACCAATGTCAGCATAACAGCCCGCTTCCACTGAAAAGAAATATGCCTGAAATGTTAAGCAGTCCCAAGATCCCATAAAGGCTCAGCGAAACAAATGTTTCTGCCGTAGTCATGAATCTCATTATTGAATCATGTGTGTGAACTAAAATATCCCAGTGAAAGGAAAGGCCATATCTTTTTATTTTGATTCTAGGAAAGAAAATACCCAATGAGATCTGGTCCGTCTCACAGCACAGGCCTTTTTCTGATTTCTCCTGAAGGGAGAGGCCTGGCAGACTGAGAAACTGAACACCTCAACTTGAGAGGAAAGGGCCTACAGAAAACAGAACCGAGATAGACTGATCGGCTTATTTCCACAGTAAGGTCCAATCAGAGTGACGTGAATCATGAGAATGTTATGACTAGGGACAAGAGGCTCTGCTCTCTTGGGGCATGGCCATGATTTTAAGGGCAATACTGCTACTGCTGAGGTGGTACCAAGCTTTGAGCCTCATGGAACACTTATAGCAAAGATTATTCAGAAGATCATCATTGAATTAAGACAGTTTAACTAATGGCATCAACCTGCCTGATTTCCCCATGGACTGGGTGACTAAACAAAGGGAAAGAAACGAATAAAATAGAAATAATTATGTTCGGTCTAAGACACAATACATATTGCATTAAGGAATTTGTGGGGTTTTGAAATGGTTTTGCCACTGACAAAAGTGGACGTGATTTTTTGTGGTTTGTTTTTATATTCCATTTGAAGCAGGAAACCAGAAAACTAGACCTGCAGCGTCCTCTGCTGGAATAATATATTATTGTTATTAAATGGGCCCTGACTTTTCTACCTTGGTTACTGAAAGTGCTTTACACTGTTACCTCACCATCTACTGATGATCAGTAGGTTCAATATCTTGCTCAAGGACACTTCAACATGGTTGCAATGGCCGGGGACCAAACCACCAACTTCTCTCCAAAGTTTGTGAATGAACCTTCGAGAAAAGCTGATGTGACGAAAGAAAAACACACGGTGGCAGCAGTCGCTGCCGAAACCTCATAAAGTGTACAGTCGGGAAGAGCATGTCTAACTTCTAAAAGAAACACGTTTGTGTCCAGTAGAGCCGAGCTCACATATCCAGTGACCAGTGAGAGGGTCACACCCCAGAGAGCTTTTTTGGCACTGGCATTTATTGATGCATCCTTAACCCCATGGCCCAGATTCACATGCTGCAGAAGTAACAAATACATGTAGAAGTTTTAGTATGTCAATCATGGCTGCAGATCGAACTTTCTTTTTAAAAACTAAATGCTTAGTGCTTTATTGCAATCAGGAATCTTACAAAACACCGAGACTTTCTTAAAGGGGAAGTCCACTCAAAAAAGTACTTTACAGTATTATGGCTTACGTGTCTCCGCTAGTCGAAACACAGTATGGCTCACCTTCAGAAAACAGGTGAGATGTGATAGCTTGTTAACCGAGCCCTGAACAACTGTGAAATCATTTTCAGTCACCCATAAGTGGCAAAATGGCCGCCCCTTGAGATGGACAAAAACAGATAAATTTTGCTGCTTAGCTTATATTCCACAAGCACAATAGTAATCTGATTGCTGTGTTTAGACTCGTGAAAGTACTTTGGACATATCCTTGTGAAGAAGAATTCTGGGTTGACTTCCCCTTTAGATTCACACATTTTAATTCTGTCGATCTTCATTTGTGCCATTTATACTCTTCATTGAGGTGTGTGTTTTATAAAATACTGTTCTGCATTGAGTTACTGAGAAATTTCAACCTGGGGTCAACTACATTTTGTGATTCTGCATTTTCTTACGTGATGCACAGTCATGGCCGCTCCTTCCAGGCGGACAGACACATTGGCCGGTTTGTGGGTCACAAGCAGCATCAGGGTGACAGGAGCAGCTCAGTAGACAGCCGGGTCCATGGTAGCCAGGAGGACACACTGTAGTCAACGTGAAATGCACATGTTTTTGTCTTTATTGTAAAATTCTGAGCAAAGTTTAAAAATCAGACTTTGGTGAATTATGATGATGATGATGACTTCACCACTTTAACGTCTTCGTTAAGACATAGTACAGTGTAAGATCATCATCATTAGCATTCATTTGGGGGGAAATGGAATCCAAGAGTTTCAATTGGGGCCAGTTTTTGCATACAACAAGTGGTATCTACAATAAAAGACATTAGTTGACTTTTTACGTGAGAGAGCTGACATAAAGAAGTCATTCTTGTAAAGTTTGTCACCAAGGCCCAGTTCTAAATCGATTTTGGAGAATGGATGGGATCAATTCTTGAAAATGTGCTGTTCAAAACCAAAACAAGAGCTCATAGCAGCTGCATGAGCATTTTTACAAGAATATTAATCCGCAGTTACAGGTGGCACAAATCTTACCTTGTGCGTATGAGATTACTGTTATAGCTGGTTAATGCATAACTTTGTCCTGAAATCTTATTCAACAGCACAAAGACAAGCGACACATAGTGTACATACAGGGGAGTATTTGACAAAAAATAGAGTGCTGATCTTTCAATGAAGATATATTCTAGTGGTCAAATATAATTTGACAATAACAGTCTTGTCTTGTACAAAATAAGTACAGTTAATGTATCAACAGAACCTTTATGGTCTTACTGAAACACTTTCAAAAACACTCCTTTTTATAGTTATGTTGACATCCATAACGGAGCACATATTTATACAAGCATTTAGGTATGCGGACATTAACCACACTTGTGGACACACTCTTAAGCAATATATGCATTCTCCCATAAAGTATTCTCACAGGTATGCGGCACTCTTGATAATGAATTAAAACCACAGAGGGGCGCTGTAACAATTCTCAATTTTGTTTTTTGTTTTTTTTTTTATTCAAACTTTTGACCCAAATGTTTCAAGGCAAAAAACTAGAACAAAGATCACATTTCTGTTTATCAATTGTGACGCTACTTTAGTTTGGTTCAGAAAGACGCTGAAGTTTGTTTGTCTCACCCAGCTGACATCCCTTCCCACTAAGGCCTGCAGGGCATTGCTGGCTGCACTCCCCAGTCTTGGGGTCACACAACCCCGTACTTGGGCAGTCGCAAGGCTGCTCACAACCAGCTCCAAAAAAGCCCGGCTCACATTCTACAGTGGGACACACAAACACGTAGCGGTACATTTAAGAGGAGAACGGTTTGCAATTTCTCAAAATGCCATTTCAGAACAGCACACTGTCTTTCAGATGCTAGTGCTACTGAAGCTCTACAACTGTGAAATAAAGTGGATCTTTTTGACACTTCACAATGAATAGATGATCAAGTAATGTGCTGGAGTTTAGGCGATTGGATCTGTGAAAGTTATTCTTATGGCCCTAATGAAGCATGCCTCCAGCTATGCCGATTTTGCTGCTGTGGCCTAACAAAATAATTACATTGAGATCAGTTTTCCTGTGAAGGGATTATACCTTTCTCACATTGTGAGCCATGGTATGCAGGCTTACAGATACAGCTCCCCATCTTGGGGTCGCAGCCAGTGGAATGTTCTCGAATACAGTCACATTCCGACGAACAGCCAGAGCCGTGCGTCCACCTGGGACAAGCTGAGGAGTAGAAGACAAGCGCACGTAAAATCTCAGTTTGGAGGATTTCAAGTATCATAGAGCTTCTTCGATGGTGTTTGCCAACCAAACTGTAACTATTGTTATTTTGCTCGTGGTTTGTTTGGATGGTTTCACCCCTTTTTCATGCTGATATTAAACTGTAACTGATTCTTAGCATACTGTTAAGAGACCATCCCAGTGAGTGGCAACTGCTGACGAAGGTAGCAAAGGGCCAGTTTACATCAGGGTTTGTTCAAGGTCAAGAGTTTGTCGGACGAAAATGTTAAACCTGTTCAAAATTCTCTTGTGACAAGAAAAATATAGGCAAATGCCTGGCAAACGTCTGGCAATTGTTTGGCGATCATTTGTGAACTTGAACGAACCCTGACGAGAATGCAACATTCGTTACCTTCCAAAACGCTCATAATTGTTCACAGGTCAGTGCAGTTGAATTGAAACGATGCTGTCTTTGTGTAGATATTGTTGAAAATGTGTGGATATATATGCATGATAAATGTGCATGGGAACATCGATAATCATTGTTCGGGTTGTTAAATTTTCATGCAAACTGCCAAGACTGTCCCAATGCAGCAGCAAAAACTCCACTCCACCCTTGTCCTGCTTGACAGAGGCTTTGTGTGAGGTGCAGCTGGAGTCTCTGGTTACACCCTCCAAATGTCGCGCTGCAGGATGGAGCAAGCAGCTGGGGGAATCTGACAATATTTGTCAAGCACATTCTTCCATCATTTTGTTTCGTGCTTGTAAGACTGAGCCTTTCATACGGAAAAAAAGAACGCTCGAAGAAGAAGTCTTCACAATGTCTCGTCGGAGAGGCAATCCTAAAACATTCGGGGGTGTCAACATGGTGACAGAGGAGCTAAAGAATCTTTACTACAAAAGACTGCTGCCGATCGAGAAGTACTATTCCTTCCATCACTACCACTCTCCAAGCTATGAGGATGCGGACTTTGACAACAAACCAATGGTGCTGGTAATGGGCCAGTACTCAACAGGAAAGACAACGTTCATCAGGTAATAACATTTGGGTACATTCTCATGCAATTCAACAGTATCCAGCTGAATATACAGAAAAGCACATTCCGCTGCCATCTGTGCGTTCAGATATCTCATCGAACAAGACTTTCTGGGTAGCAGAGTGGGGCCGGAGCCAACCACCGACTGCTTCACAGCCTTGATGTACGGAGAGGTGGAGGGAATCACACCAGGGAATGCCCTCACCATGGATACCGAAAAACCATTTCGCCACCTTGACCCTTTTGGGAATACTTTTCTGAACAGGTGATGGGAAGCGAGAGATAAGGAGATGGAGGAGGGAGGGCGTTATAATTTGTGATCATCAACTTTGCATTGAGCTATGTTAACAATAAATCATTTTGCCAGGGGCAGTCGTGTGTAAATGCTGAGCGGTCAAGCATTCATGTTCATGATATTCTGCAGAAAAACCCCAAACAGTTCAATAGACAAATGTATTTATTGAATATGTATGGCTTTTTCCTTGCAAAGATCCAAGTCGAATCATTGTAAGATGCTGCATATACAATTGGTATCCGCGGATTGATGTGATTAACAGTACTTGACTTAACTCTTTGGAATTTTAACTTGGCAACAGCATCTCATCATTCACATGCCGTTTGAAGAAAGTTGCCTTTCTCTCAGTAAAAATGTCTAATCATTCATCTGCAGATTTCAGTGTGTGCAGATGCCCAATCAGGTCCTCGAGAGTATCAGTATCATTGATACACCGGGCATCTTAACTGCAGCGAGGAAAAAACTAAGCAGAGGTGAGTTAAGACACTAAATAATGCCGCTCACACTACATATCCAGTTTGTATCAAAATGAGAGTAGAAGCAGATGAGGCAAAGTAGGAATTTGAATGATGCAATACTTAATCAAATGCAGTTGATTCGTGACCACGGCAGATGAGAACAATTTCACAGAGTTGGAAGGGGATCGGCAGAAAGTACCAAAGCTGCCTCTGCTTTACTTTCTTGACGCATGCATCTATGGGTGTAGCTGGAATAGTTTGCGAACAGTGAGGGGCCGCTGGGATGTGTTACATTTTTCTCCCTGCTCCTTGAGGCACAGGGGCAGATGCTATTAGCATCAATGTTAATCGAAACCCTCTGCTCCTTGTCCTATAAGGCTACGACTTCCCAGCAGTGCTTCGCTGGTTTGCCGAGCGTGTGGATCGGATCATCTTGCTGTTCGACGCACACAAGCTGGAGTTTTCGGATGAGCTCACTCGGGCCTTTGGGGCTCTTTTTGGCTACGAGGACAAGTTACGTGTGGTTCTGAATAAGGCTGACAGTGTGGACTCGCAGCAGCTCATGAGAGTATATGGCGCCCTCATGTGGTCACTGGGGAAGGTTTTTAGAACCCCTGAAATTTTGCGAGTTTACATCGGATCCTTTTGGTCAGAGCCAAGGCAGATGTGTGACCACTACCAACTGATAGACTTGGAGGAGGAGGATCTGTTGGCCGACCTAAGAAACCTCCCACACAATGCTGCTGTGAGAAAACTGAATGATTTGGTGAAGAGAGCACGACTTGTGAGGGTAAAATATCCAACGGGAAACACATTCAGTGATTCTCATTCAGAGTTGATATTTGATATGTGCTTTGTCGCTCTCTCAGGCTCATGCACACATCATCGGCTATCTGAAGCAGGAGATGCCGACTATTTTCTGCAAAGAGAACAAGAAGCACAATCTGATCTACCAGCTTCCAGTCATTTTCACCAAGATCCAGCAGCAACACAGAGTTCCAGCAGGAGATTTCCCCGATTGCACCAAGATGCAGGTCATACTGAAATGCTGTATTAAGAGAGCTTAAGAGGCCAACCACTTTAGGAATGGCTATCATCCAGAAGCTAATTGTGCCCTTCATGACCTTCACATAAGCTTAAAACCAACCCAAAGCCGGTCAGCTATGAAATGCATTTGGAATATTTGCTCGTGAACAAAAGGCTTTGGCCACAACAAATGAAAGCAGTTGTCATGATACCCAAAATGCATGAAGCATAACAAGCTTGCTTTATCCAATAATGAACTTATTTGTAAATGAATATTCACAGATATAGTGCGAAATACCATCAAATCAAAACCAAATACTCATCATTCCATTAATGCAGGTATTGTTAGTAGCAGTATTTTTAAAATATACTTTTTTATAACACCGTATGCTTGATGAAATCCCAAGGTGCATACAGGATATGATTCTAAGATATATTAAAAAAGAAGTCCTACACATTATATCATGTCGGCTTCTCCAATCATTATTTTTTTCCCCCTTAAATATGATCTGACTCATCATTTACAATTTTGCTTTTTCAGGAGCAACTTCTGAGTCAAAACTTCTCAAAGTTCAAGAAACTGAAACCAAGTCTGATGGCTTCCCTTGACAAACTCCTAAACACTGACATAGCTAACCTGGTTCCCCTACTTCAGCAACAAGAACTTCTAAATAAATCCCTCCCCGGAGTTCTCGATGGTGAATTCCTGGGAACGTTCAGGCGCGAGCATTACAAGAGGCATCCCTTCAAGGAAATCGAAGATGACGATGACAGTGAACGAGATTCCATTGAGTGGATAGTGGAGAGACACAAGCCAAAGTACGATGAGATCTTCTACAACCTCAGCCCGAATGAAGGCAAACTCAGTGGAGCCAAAGTCAAAGAATGGATGACAACAACACTTCTGCCAAATTCTGTGCTTGCTCATATTTGGAGGCTGTCAGACATTGATGCAGATGGTATGTTGGACAATGAGGAGTTCGCACTGGCTGTCCATCTTATCGAAGGAAAACTGGAAGGCCATTGGCTCCCGCGTGAGCTGCCCTCTCACCTGCTACCTCCTTCAAAACGACTAAATATGACCGATGAAGAGATCTGAATTAGACATGCAGTATGGGGCAATAATTAAGTGCATCATTTGTACAGATTGTCCAAAAAAACCATACGCGAAGACAGTTTTCTTCACTTTGAGCAATACATACAGAATTGTCAATTCATTTTATGTGACACAGTCGTAATATTTTTGTGTTAAAGCTGCAATTAAAAGATAACTTCTATGAGGAATATTCCATTGCTTCCGATGAGCGTGATCAGCACCTTTAAAATGGTGGCACGAAAAATCGACACTACAAAATGAAGTTGGTACTCACGCAGATGACAGTGTCGACCATATAATCCTGGGGAACACAAGCAAGCTCCATATAAACGATGGCAGTGTCCATTGTTGGGACAGTTGCACTTTATCATGCAATCACTTCCAAAATAGCCCCTCGGACAACCTGCAAACATGAATGATAACGGAGAACATTGGTCAAAATCAAAGGCCAACATTTTATTGAGAATACAATAAAACGGAATTTTATGTGATGGAAAAAAATATTTTGTTTGGTGCAGATGTGCGTGAATTTGTGTACAAATAATACAAACCAGCCTCGCAGAATAGACCTTGTACCCCCGGTGGGCATAAGCACTTCCCAGACACGGGGTCACATGTGCCTCCATTCTTACACTGGCACAGACTGTTACAATGGGGCCCATAAGTGCCCTGTGGACAAGCTGGAAAATAATGTGGGTCTTGAGAAAAATACATCGTCAACATTGGGTAACGTTAACACACTGCTCAATGAAACATTGGCTTATGTGTAAGGTTTTAAATACTGGACAATTAAAAGTACTATCCATTCGCAATCAAAATGGACTTTTATGGTTTCATTTTTGGTTGCTGTCGTCTTGTTTGTTGATTAGCTGGTGAGGATTACGCATAAAGTGCATAAAGTGTCCAATGACTGTGCATCCAAGCAGCGCCAGGCACATTGGGAGTGTGTATTCTGTAGAAAATGTGACATTCTAATGGACTTATCCCACATGACTTTCCCTTCATGAGAACCAGCATGACTCAGGTTCACAGCAGACACAGCCATTAGTCACAGGAGCGCACGGGAAGAGTGGGCCCTTGGTTTTAAACCCGGCAATGAACATCCTTGGACTCCGGCCTGCTGCGGGCTCTGGCCTTGGAAGGTAGTTTACAGATTGATTCGCCTGGTGCTTTTTTATTCAGGAGTCCATAAACAATGATCCATCCTACGCAGAAGAGCTGACAGGTTTTGATATATGACCCTGGATTGATGCAAGCAGGAGGCTATCTCAGTCTAAAACTGGTCTACACTTCTATAGGTAGCGCAAATAGAACTAACAGATGGATTTTCCCAAAGGGTGGGAAAGATGATGGTTTTGTGAGTCTGCGTGTGTACGTGTACATATTCATGGCCAAAAATAACTAGTTAAAAGATAAACGATAGTTCCTCTGGCAAACAGACTGCATATTCTTTCGCTGCTGCTGTTCTGTGTGAACTCCCCAAAGAGTCTCGCTTAATCACAAAAGTGAACACTGTCAGACTCATTTCATCAATAAAAAAGTAACTTTTTAACCATATTGACGTTTCATTGAGAATCAATCCTAATTTGGATCAGGTCCAAACTGTACATTGTTGTGACTTCATGAATGTGAATTATGCCATTCATCGTCATATATTACTTTGAAAGAAGTTGTTTTCAAATCAAAATGTCTCACATTGAGTTAAGTCATTTCAACTTTTTATGACTTCTTCGTTGGTACCATGCTGCATCCGTTACATAGTTTAGTGAAAATCAATTTAGTTGTGAACAAACAGGTCAAAACAAAATCATTGGTAGATGATGTTTAAGCTTTTGTATCGCACAAATCTCTTTAAAGCATTTTGGAAACTAAGGAGCAGACTGCCAAGCGTATGTGATGCAAAAAGCAGATGCGACAGGCACTCTCCATACCGAATATAAGAAAACTGTTGAACTTACTCTCATTGCAGATAATGCCAGCCCATCCAGGTGAACATTCGCAGCGGTCTTTATTTTTACCACAGTCTCCATTGACACAATCTTCACATCGCCAACTGCAGTCTTCCCCAAAAGAATTGTCCAGACACACTGTCAAGAATGAAAAATAAAAATAAAGACACTGTCAGAAAAGTTGAGCACCATTGGCGGATAGTTGATCATGCTTTTGTTGTACCGATTTGGGTATCCAATCGAAATTCTTCTCGACTTTTTATGAAGCTTTGAAACGCTTCATCAGAATCACCAGCATCGTTATCTTCATGATCGCCGTCGTACGGGGAACGTAATGCTGCCGTGTAATGGAGAAGCTGGGGAACGTTACGGAAGAGCAGCTCTGGAAACCTCGAGACTTCCATCTGCTCTGCATCTTCTTCTTCCTCCTCCTCATCTGCCTCCAACGCTCTGCGATACAAAGCTAACAAAGGCCACACAATGACCACATGTTACCATTGGAATATGAATTGTGATTAAATATTCTATTTAAGTGTTATTTTTGTATGACTCATTAGAATTTCATGTGGATCGAATCACTGGGTATATATTTTTATGGTCATAATCTCACAATGTTGCGATTGTTAATTTAAAGCCAGTCTAGCCAAGTAGGTTGAAACAAACTCACACCCTTGGCTGTGTTAAAGCAGGAGATAGTTGTGCGACACATGGAAGTAGATCTCATAGAACTCATGGAAAATTGCATTTTAAAATGCATTTTGTTAAGAATTGGGTCAAGGTTACTGACAGATGCAAGTGTGCTGATCTTGATCCAAGCGGAAACCCTTTCGGCAAAAACACTCATACGCTCCGAGGGTGTTGACACAGCCATGGTCGCAGCCTGAAGTCTCTGCCAGACACTCGTTGATGTCTTAAAGGATAATGGAGAAATAACTTTTGAAAAAAAATCAAGAGAGGGACTGCACAAAACTTGTTATCATAGAAATAAAATGGACTGGAATCTGACAGATCAACAACTCTTGAATCTGATGTTTGGTATCTTGCCTTGTAGTATCAATTGCACAAATGCCTTTAAATAATGGTTTGCTTCTTAGCAACCAACACTGTTATTTATCACGGGATCTGGAATAGCTTCTGTTACTTGAACATGTTTTGGGATTTGCGTACAAAATCGCAGTGCCACAACACAAAAACAACACAAAAAAATATATAATTCGCCAACAATACAGAACTCTTACCATCACAGCCGCAGCCATCTGGGTTTTGTGTGTGGCCGGCTCTGCAGCTGCATTCGTAGCCGCCTGGATAGTTTCTGCAGAAGTGACTGCAGCAGGATTCCCCATTGACACACTCATCACTGTCTGAAGTTGGTGGGCAGAAGCACATTGTAAGATTCCGTATATAACTGACGGTTCACGAGGCTAAAAGAAGTTCTTACCTACACAGGTCTTCCTGTCCTGGTCTAGCTGGTAGCCATGATGGCAGGAGCAAAGGGGCCCATTGGTGGTGTGCTCACACTGATGAGAGCAGCCTCCATTATTCTTCTCACAGCTGTTCACAATCTCCATCTCTATGCCTGGCATGTACAAGAGTGTATGACCACAGAAAAGACACAACATTTTCGGTAAACAAGTACAAATGACTTTAGTTTGGAATGGAAGTAAAGGAGTCATGCATTGCAAAGGGAATGTCCTTCATCGTTCAAAACGTGTGCACAAAGCATTGTCCACTGGTGGATGAATGTATCAATTCTGTTTCTGCTATAATGGGTCTGTAGTAGAAAAAAGATGTTATCTTTACTCACGGTAGCACCGTTTTCCATCTGCACCAAGCTCAAAGCCCGGATGACACACACATCGAAAGGAGCCCAGCATGTTGACGCATCCATGGGAGCACTTGTGATGTCCGGTATTGCACTCGTCAATGTCTGTTGAAGACAGGACATGCACAAAAGTGGTTGGTTGGTTATTTTAAATACTGTACCTAGGAATACAATACAAATGGCAGAAAAGCAAGACTCACAAAAGAATGTAAGATCCTTGACAAAGACATCTTGATTTATTTACCAGTGTCATGGACACAAGAACGTATAGGTAGGTCAGACTGGAATTCACGGTCACGTGCATTTCAGCTCGCATGAAATAAAATGTATCTGTTTTGGCAGAACTTGAGTAAACTGTCCCTCTTGGCTCTGTTAATTAAATTTTATGATAGATGGGAAATTTCCACTGATATACACAGGCAGACATAACATGATTACAAATTAAATACTGGCGGCAGATATTACAAACGGTATTGCATTTGTTGGAGCAAGGTTTTGTCGAGAGATGGAGAGACAGAGATTAGGACAAAAACCCCTTATACTTCATCCACCAGCAACAACTCCTGCACAAATTGTTGAAAGACCTTCATGTCGAGTTCCAATCCGGTGGAACAGAGATAGAACACAATCTCTTTTGAAACCCTGGTCGACTTGCGATTTGATCAAATGCAGAATATAATTTTGCCATATAAAGTAGTGTTAATCTACTTACCGGTAAAAAAAAAAAAAAAAAATCCATTTCAAGGGCAATGCTTTTCTTCATTGTATTTGAGTTCTGTAAATTTGTCACGATGACGTATGCTTGAAAATAAGTTAACTGCTGTAAAATGAAAACATAAATACGATAAACTGTGTACCGGTATGCACATTTGAAGAGTTGTAGCAGCCGTTATTTCTTTTATTTATTTTTTTAATACAAGCATAGGTTTACGTTTAAGTGGTTATTGACATAGATGTTCAAGTTCAGAGGTTTCATTTTCTAGCGCTCCAGTAAATCACTACTTCTGCCTTGACCAACCCAATAACGATCAATGTTTGAGAATTTTGTGTGTAATTGTGATAAAAAAAAAATTTAAAAATCGGACTCAAGTAAAGCACTGAAAATCCCTAGAATAATTTTTGAAAGAGCTCACTGTATTTGCTGATGTCCCTTAATGCCCAGTGTACGATGAGTGTATCTGCTTCCTCACCTTCACAGCTCTTGCCATCTTCAGCCAGAGTAAAACCGGATCGACAGCTGCATTGAACATGGCCATCCGCTGAGACACACAGCTGTGTGCAGCCTCCGTTCCTCTCCTCGCAGGGTTCCCTCACTGCCACATAAAGCCACGGAGGATTTGACCCACATATGCGCATTCGATCATGGGTATCTTGTTGATAAACACATTGTTTGTTCAAGGTCTTGTGGAGGAAATTAGGACTGATGACTTACATTCACAGTGTCTCCCATCTGTCTTGAGCTTGTAGTTCTTTCGGCACTCACATTTATAGTGATTGTTACCCATGTCTAGACATTTGTGCTCACAACCACCATTCAACACCAAGCAGGAGTGTATGGCTTAAAAAACAAAGGAGACACATGCATGCATGTATTAGATATAAGAAATAAATGTAAAACATTTGCACGATAAACATTCGTGGTGCCCTTGAACGAGTCACCGTCCTCACTCCCATCTCAAATGGTGCAGCACTGTTTGTCTCTCGCTGAATCTCTCCTTGCACGCCTGCATTGTGTGTGATCTGGTTTTCCATGTGGTGTGCCGCGCAAAATAGGCAGGAGAGTGTATGGTGAACGTTCCCTTAAATGATTAGAATGAGTATAATAAATTACATCAAAACAAAATAATATGTTAAAAGGTGAAAAGAATATGTAAGTCAGTTACTGCAGGCAGTCCTACTGACTTTCGAATATGTCCTTCCAATTACAGTGCCATGAACCAAATATGAAATATCACCTCTGTGCCTGAGATTTTATTGGAAGAAAAGATTTTAACACTGATGATTTTAGCAGGCCCAAACCTAGAAGTCTGTCCTCTTGTGCAAAGATACGACAGAAAGACGGAGAGAGACTCTCACTCCAATCATAACTTTTTTTCATGTTCGCTGTATTCTCTCTTGTTTTAGAGCATGATAAACTCTAAACTGGTGTATGTTGCTTGTCTATGCCTGGACCTTGAGTCTGTAAAAAAGCAATTAAATTCAATCAGTGTACATTTTTTTTGTAACTCTCAATGAGACTTTTGCACCTGCTGACGGGTATTCAGGACTATTCAATGAGCGCAACATGCTCCAGATTTGATGTGATCCTCTGCAGTCTGCATGTTTCAACGCCTTCCACAAATGTTCAAGAGTCTTTATGTAAGAACTCTTCAAAGTAGGCCAAAGTTTTTCCATTGTCGGTACTTTAGCTTTCGGTCATTGTCCTGCTGAAGGACGAATGACCTGCAACCAATACCGATCTTTGTGATGCTGGGCAGCACAGAAAGCTCCAGAATACCTTGACAATCTTTATTTCATTGCACCATTCACAGATTCAAGACACCCAGAGTCAGATGAAGAAAAACATTCCCAGAACATAACCAAGTCTTGACCTTCTTTCACAGACACTCTTCAAACCTGGTCTAGCTATAGTCGTTACTAATGAGGGTGGGCCAAAATACTTGTTGACAGTGGTTAGTTACAGCAATTAATTGATTGTAGTGACCGGCTCAAACGACTGGAAAAACACATTCAGTTAAGGGTACCGTTATTTTTGTCCAGTGAGTTTAACTCGGGTGTATTTATTTATTTATTTATTTATTTATGCACGAGTCTGAAAGTTTTCCTGTGTCATATTCTGTGTATTTGTTCTCATTCCCGAAAAAAATGTTTGAAATGTGTGTACCAATGTAGCAACATGAGCTAGTGAGGAAGTGTTAAAACCGCTTACCAATGCAGGTCCGACCATCAGTGTGCATGCGGAATCCTTCACTGCACTCACAAAAATAAGAGCTTGGTGTGTTGACGCACGTCTGTTGGCATCCTCCATTGAGCTCTGCGCATTCATTGACATCTGAACACACACAAATGTACAATAATACTCAGAATAATTGAGAACTCTGTGAGCAAACAATATTTCAGTGAGAAGATGTCAATTCAAATTGATCAGGATTTTAGAAATGATTAAGATGGAAGAATCAGGTTAAAGATGGATGTCAGATAGAAAAAGAACACTGTGTCCACACCTTTCTTTGCATCTGGACATCATGTCAGGCATCCTTAGGTTGTTTTATTGTTTTGATCAAGCTACCCATGACATATTTGTTGGGCAGCCCGATATTTACACAGTGATCTGGTTTTGTGCTTCTTTATGAAGCTGTAGCAGATATCCTGTACACTTCCCATGTGTGTCGGACTTTGGCACGCGTTATGGGTTGGGGGGGGGGGTGTTGTCATGCCCATTGACAGATTGTTGGCAGTCGTGCAATTATGGCACAATATTAGCGCAAATAAGAAACAATGCACATTCCAGCGCACAAAACAAACAAAGGTGCAGCTTTGCTAGGGCATAGAATCCATTCATGAGTACAGTTGTCTCTATTTCTTGTGCCACAATAAACTGTTGGTGGAGACTGCAAGTGCAACATCAGGCAGGGAAAGGAACTGTCGCTGGCCAGAAAGCATTACCAAAGGATTCCAATTGTAAGATGTGAACTATTGACACACATAGTGCCTTATCCACCACATCTTGAACAAAAGGAAGATGTGTGGTAAACTGTGGTTGTCTGTGGTCTCATCTGCAGAAAGCCATCAAAAGGGAAACCACAAGCGAAGTGAGAACATGCAAACTAATCAAACTGTTATTATTCCAAAGGGGGTCCATATATAAATAAAACAGTACTGGGAAGAAAGGTGGTGGTAATATCAGAAACCAGTTGTCCATTCATTTTCTAGACAACTTTTCCTTATTCAGGTCACGGTTAGGCTGGAATACTGGAGAAAACTATCCAAACTGCAGAGGGGAAGGCCATATAAAAATGTGTTTGTGCAAACTGGTTGTCTCCTCATGTTCTTCTTACCTTGACATGACTTGCCATCTGGCCCCAACTCACTGCCCACAGGACACTTGCAGTAGTAGCTGCCAATCGTATTGCAACAGTATTCTTCGCAGCCTCCTTTGTCCACCTCACATTCATTTATATCTGAAAGAAAAGCAAATTGTGAAAATGACTTGGCTCAATCCATAAGACAACGTGATATTTTTATTTTAAATCAATATATGCATAGGGAAAAAAACTCAATACATTGCTGATCATTCTGTTAAAGATTTCAGAGATGAATGAGAATTTGAAAATGTTTTTTTAAAGAGATAAAAAAAACAACACAAAGAAGGAGAAGATACACAAGAAGCATTGGACTCATACATCCTTCATTCTGTAATTAATAAAAGTTCTGATGTCGTATTAGAGTGTGTGCCAGATGTAACTTTCTGAATGTGTGATGCTGCAAAGGCTGTGTGCATGTGCATGGATATGACAATGTCCAATTCTGTCAAAAAGCCAAGACAAAAAAAAAGTGCCAGGAAGGCAGTCTAAAAGGGGCAACAGATACAACAGAAGTGATGGAACAGTGCCTCCGTTTGTGGATTACATAACTGGTTAAGGACACGTCAAGAAGTACTGTAAATCTGAACCTCGGGATGGAAACCTGAGACTCTTCCCCAAAATGAGTCTGTAAAGATCTCGATCTAGATCTAAAGATCAGTTGTCACTTTCTTTGCTGGAAACACACTAGTGCATGCCATTATTCACGGAATTAAGTGTGTTCTACACTCAAGTGGAAAGTGTAGCCATGGAGCTGCTATATGAACAGGGCAAATAACAGTTTCCCATCCGGTAACACGGACAACACACAGCTGGTTAAAAGCTCTTGTTTTCTCTACAGACAGACTGATTCCAGATCCCTGTGTAGATCATTAAGTCTTACTTGCATAGCGTGTTCTCTAGACTCCACTTCAGAATTTCCCAAAAGATCTCTTCGCTTCCTCCACCAAAAACAACCTCAACTGACTGCTTCAACTTTGAAGCAGTCATATTGAAATAGTACATTACAGAATTGATGAGAATTTATTTTCCATAACACTACCAACAAAACTGAATTCCATTTTCAACAAGATATCAGTTTAAGTTCTGTAGTTTTTGTTCTGATGTTTTACTTTTTCGTGTCATGAGACGACACGAGAACAGGTTTGCATGTACAGTACATACACCCTGCATATAAACAGCAGGTGTGTTTGATTTAGCAGCATTATAAATCAATCCCGTTCAAACATGAACTCTGCAATCGGGGTGAGAGTTGAAGCGATGAGAGATGGCCTAACTATTTGCTCCTGCAACAAATACTCAATATACAAGTAACACTTCGAACATCAAAATGGTTGTCGAAACTTTCAGTCCTAATTGTGTCCAAGAAACCGTAACAGAAACCACCCAAACCACCACCAGTGTGAAGTCAGTACTGACCATGAATAACAAAAACTAAAGTAATACATATATACATTTACAAACTCTACATTTTAGAGACACACCAAATTCAAACCGAACTTTAAGTCCTATTACAAAGTCTTGATTATCACTGCAGTATTTCTTTCACAACAATGTGTGCAGTGGATAAATTGCTTTGCATATGATGTAGAGCTGCATAAATCTGTCCGCAGAAGTGTGAGAAAGAGAATGCTTTCATCACTAAAGAAAACCAAAAAAACTGAGCCGAGCTGAGACCTTAGAACATGTGAAAGACAAAGTCATAGAAATCCTCATCTAATCTGTCACCCCAATGTGCGAAAAGCAAATAGTTTGGGCCAAAACACTCACAGCAGACAGCTGCCTCCACAACACGTGCTTGTGACATTGTCGTAAAGAAGGGCTTCCGTTTAAAAAACAGAGGCAGGCAAGCCCTCGCTCAGGTGAATCTGTGAGGGTGGCAAAGGCCTTGTGGAGTGTACATCTGTGTGTGTGTGCGCGTGCGCGGTGCCGGTGGGAGGGAGGCTATCAACCCAATATCCTCAGGTCACCATCAGTATTCCCAACAGTCCCTATGTGTTTACTGGACAACAGGTATTTTACAGTATGTGTTTGTTTCTTGAATGTGGGGGTGCGAGGTGGGGGGTGGGCAATGCGTCACGAGGCATTTGCCAGGTTAGGATCCCAAGCACACTAAGCACTGTTGTTTTTTTTTTTCTTGCAATAAGACTCAACAGAACTAGAACCTTCAAAGCCCATGTGCACCACGACTTCTTAATCCAAGCTCTCAGTATTGCAGAGACAAAGGATCTGAACTTGGAGCTTTAGCGAAACACTGCCCTGTTCAAAAGTTAACAGACTGTTGACACAATGCTGTAGGTAAACTCCAATGATGATGTGGTGGAAATGTGGTGTACGTAACAGTAACAGTGAAATATTGACATCAATAAGAGTGAAAACTTACCATATTGGCACCGTGTCCCTTTAAAACCTTTTGGACAATGACATATAAGATCCCCACTCTCTGCACATCGGCCTCCATTGAAACACGTATTGGCACTGCATATCCCTAAAGGCGTGACATATAATAGTGTGACATTATAATATATATTTTTACAGTTTTATAATGTTTAGTTAACCGGTGCAATTATACACTGTATGGTTTATTTTTTTGGGGTCACCATTGAAAACGTTGCATACTGATATTAAAATGCTAATAATACCTACTATGAAGACAGCCTGGTTCGCCATCTGTTTGAGTCCAACCAGGGCAGCACTTATAAACTGTGCGAATATCTGTCCTGTACACTTGTCTGTACATTGTGTAATATGTTGTCCTGTGGAGAGCAAAATTGGCCTTGCTTACTGGGTTGTAATAGCTACATTTCACCATGAACATGATGAATTATTCAGTGTAGGAGAAAGGAGTGACTCTTACCTCCTCTCATATCCTACACACCATCTGTGGCCTGTGCAGCCCTGCCTCCACACCTTCACCATTCGTGTAAAACCCTGAACACAAGGCTGAGGGCCACCCAAATGAAACATCTCCTGGTCGGCGCAAACATTGGGCCTGAAATGCAGACAGAGAGGAACAGATCTGTTGCTGATGCCATTTGACTTAGTTTCACAAAAGAGAACAGATTAACCATGACCTTTCGCATGCTTCTTCTCATGAACATCACTCTTAACAATATTGCCAATGACAATTGCAGAGTTTTGTGATGTGTTAGAATCCACATGATGTTACAGGGGCATCCAGAATGCCCAAAAATTAAAAAAAAAACAAAATCACTTTTCTGTACCTAGAAGCAAAAGTTTCAAAACCAGTGCGAGTCCAAGCTCTAAGTTTTAATATATATTCTGTAGAAGTCACAGGACCAGCCAAACTCTAAAAAAAAGTGACTTCTAGTCCGAAAAATACGGTAGTAACTCCGCGAACTGTTTATCAGGTCACTCCAAACTGTTTTTGATGTGTGAATGACACATAACGCAACCAGTTGCTCCTCTATTTAGAACTTCCGATCACTTCCTAATCAGCTTCCATTATATTCCACGTCACTATCACCGGATCTGTACCTTAGCCAAACTTGTTGTTGACCAAGCACATAAAGGTTTGTGATCGTAAACAGAGAACAGGTTTAAGATTTACAATTGTCTGCACGACCATTTTCCGAGGAGATTTGGGAAAAAGAAAAGACTGATAGCTTGTCTAGTAACTCTTCTTGTCATTGTGGCAACCATTAACACCCAAATTGATAAGTTGCTCCTCTATTTTTTTTCTGGCAATGGCAGGAGCTTCAGGTGGCTTACCAAGTGGCCTATCGCAGGGTCCACCTCTACCAACCATCTGGCTCCAATTCAAAACAGCCTGAAGTTAATGAAAGGAAGTGTTCAGCTTTTCTTGTCATTAAAACGTTTCATTTAACCTTGCCGAACGCACTCTAATTAATTTAATAGACGTCTGTTGGCGAGACAAAATACTTCAAAAATTGAATTTTGTTGGAAGGCACATGAAAGGCAATTCAAACCGTGCATTTGTCATAGGTTACTTGCAAGTGCGAACTCTAGTGGCCAATTAAAAGAATAGGATTTCGATCGGTCATCATGATGCATGCGTCTAAATACAACTGTTCACACACGTACACCCACACACACACACACACACACACACACGCACACACACACGCACACACATACACACGCACACACACACACGCACACACACACATACACACGCACATACACACGTACACACACACACGCACACACACACGCACATGCACACACGCACATACACAGCCACACGCACACACACACGCACACACACACACACACACACACGCACACACACACGCACACACACACACACACACACACGCACACACACGTGTCACAATAAGGAATGCTCTATATCGCCCCAGAAGTGTGTGAACATGTAATTTAGTACAGTTTTCATTTAACAAGTTCAGATACTCGATACAATATACAGTATTCTATTTCGAAACAATCTACCTGTACTTACATATCGAGTTGCAATTCCAATGTTGACCCGGCGTACAATGTGCTGAATGATATCAGACACAAAGTGAAAATGTCTGGGAACATATCTAATTAATATTAGGAAAGAGGCCTAATTTAACAATACTTTCTGTCCCTTAGGAAGCCGATATCATCATTAGGTTGCCGGGAAGCAAAACGGTCCATCAAATGAAGAATACGTTTCCATTAAAATAATCCGTCTTGAGACAAGGCTCGAAAATTTGTTGTAAGTCTTTAGTGCTCCGGCATGTGATCCGGACGTGAGCTCGCGTCAGCTGTGAGAGAAGATGAAGGTCGACGTCTCACGTCAACAGGTTTGCGCGTAAGTGCACCACCCACAGTCGTAGAGTGGTTTGCTTACCACCTCCACCCCGAGTAAAACTGACTCGGAAATCTGGAGTTTAACATCATGTCTTGATGGTTGAATGGTTTGATGGATGGATAGATAGATAGATAGATAGATAGATAGATAGATAGATAGATTGATTGATAGACGGGTGCATCCAAATATTAGATATTCATATTAGAATCGGGTGGATAATTCACTTGCAAAAGGGATACCCCAATTCATGCATTAACACATTAACACAGAGTGAAATTTCACGAGTACATATTCTGTATGGGATGGTCGTCTGAAAAGGTATTTTCAGTTATTGATGAATCTTTTAGTTTTACTTTTTGAATTGAGCTCCTGAAATAAATAAACGTTTCTGGATATATATAGATATAGATATATATCTATATCTATATATATATATATAGAGAGAGATATATATATAGAGATATATACATTTTTTTTTAAATCAAAAAAGCTAAATGTATCCATTGTGCATGTTTTGTTTGATGGCATTACGTAACTATTCATAAAAGTTCAGTTTCAACTAATATAACTTTCTACAAATCCGTATCACCCAATAAAATGCCAACAAACATATTCACACTTTGTTACTGGGTTTTATGATTTGTCATTGTAATACATGATGTAATAGTATATTAATTGATATTGCTCAAAGTGATCTCGTAATATTGTGCACCAAGTGTACCTATTGTTGTTGAAAATGAATTTAGACGTACAACTTTATTCGTAAAAACGTTTATGCTTTCGATATGAGCGGTCGTGTCCGTGACGTCACTTCCCGTGGCGATTCCTGTTCTACTGAGCACACAGGAGGATGAAAAGTTCCTCTCTCACTGCTCTCGACTTTTGGAATTTTCACTGTTGTATTTTGCTCCCGCACGTTTGGAGTAAATGTGAAAGGTCTTTTCGCGACTCGGGAGCTTTATTAGAGGAAAGTGCTACCTTGAGCAAATAAGCAAAGGGTGAGAAACAGGTTTGAACTGTCCGCTTCAATTGCGCTAATGCTAGATGGTTACTTAGCGTCATAAACAGCCAGTTATATTTACAGTATATCTATTTTTCCCCGAATGTCAGATATTAGAAACCCTAACTGAAGGAGCACATATCACTCTTAGCCAATCGTGTTTTATGTTAATATTTGCGAATAGTAGTGTTAACAAGTTTGAGGGTGACCGCTATGTAGCAAACAATGCTAATGAGAAGAAACAAGACTTATTGGAAAGGTCTTTTGCATGTCATTGCGGTTGACTTGAACTCCTTAACGACCATTTTCCATGGTCATTTATATGTAACTGTAATGGTTCCACCTAGTTTGTATTTATGTCCGTGTACTGTTGTGAAATGATCCACTCATATTCAGTCTCCGTTTAGTCTGTCAACGGACGTGATTGTTTTCATCATGTGATTTTTTTTACATCATACATTTGAATGGCTCTCAGTGATATGAGTAGACGATGGCGATGCGAATATTAGTTTGTTGCAGTGAGTCCTCTACTATGCATACTGTCGGTGTTAACTGTATGATAACTAATGATGGTGTCGCTTCATATTTCCGCACAGCCAAATGAACGGCGCAACATTCCCCTCTCCCGTTGCCGAGATGGCAGAAATCAACCGCATCCACTATGATCTGGAGTACACCGAGGGGATCAGCCAAAGGATGCGCATACCTGAGATGCTTAAAGTGGCTCCCCAAGGCCAGGACGACTCCAGTCTTGGCTCACGGCAGCTTCCTCAGAGTGTTATAATGCAGGTCCCGGAAAGAATTGTTGTCTCAGGTCTGAATACAGTACTTGTTTGTACCCTTCATATAAAATCAAGGTGTTCCTCTAAAATTGTAAACATGTACCAGATACAACATGATGAAAAATATATTCATTTGAAGAGGTTGTGACGCAGCGTGGCCTTTAGAATTTATTTGATAGTTGGTTGAAAGGAGGCTTGCGAAAAAAATGTATCATCAATGTAGTCTTACTTTTTTTTTTTTAATTAACATATAATGTAAATAATTATATTTGATAGCACTTTGACCTCATATGATGACTCCATACTTCAGGAGACACTGATGACAGCCAGTTTTCAAGACCGAGAGACCTAGATTTAATCCAGTCAACACCATTAGAAGCCTTGTCCCTGAAGACCCCACCAAGAGTACTCACACTCAGTGAGCGACCTCTTGACTTCCTGGAGGAAGAGCAGAATAGAGCACCAGAAAGTGAGGCCGTGGTAAGTGATAGAGCAATCAGTCCTGTTCCATTACAGTATGGGAAAAATCAATTAAGCAAAGTAAAACTGATTTACAGTCAATCTTGGATAACTGGCATGATGTGTTTTAGCTGCGGCCCCATGGCCGATCGAGACGAGAACGCTCAGCTAGTGAGAATGCAGCTGTCCGTCATGGTAGTCAACTGATGCATAATGATTCAGCGTGAGTATTTGCTCAGCCATTGGTACTGCATCCTTCTTGCATGCTGCATCTTTTTCCTCCTACTTTTACTTTCATGTTTCCCTTTTTTTCCCCATAGAGACATTGTTGTCTTTATTGCCACATAGTACGCATTTTTTTGTGGGGGGTGGTTCAAGAATCCATTAAAAGTTGTCTCATCTTAACTATTTATTTTGGATTTCTAGTTTGATATGAGCAAAGTTTGTCAATTGTAGAACCTTTGCAATTTTTGCAGTCAGGAAGGAGAGTGCCCAGGGACCATCATATAGAAGAGTTTCTCCGTACAAAAAAAAAATTACCACGCCGTTTTGTAACATAATCCCTTTTCCTAGCTCGCATGATTTAATGTCTTGTTTTAATGTTTTTCCTAGCTTCTGCTTTGTATTTGCAGGGCAATTGCTCCAGTAAAACTATTTTGTTGGCCATTTAGGATAAACCTTGCCAGTTCTTTAACCATGGTCACACCATTCCTAAAAATTAATGCATGTTAGAGCTTGTAATTAAAATTTAATTGAATTTGCATGCCCTCCGGCTATTTTTGTTTCGTGCTTTGGATGTCACAATTTGTTTTCTCAAGCTATGTAGCAGTGTATCTTTCCTGAACACTGCAGCAGAACTAACACATTTGAGGATAGTTCCTTTTCCTCATTTCTCTCCCATCTCCTTCCCTGTTCCCTTTTCTCTTCCTGTTTCCTTTCCTTATTATTTTCTCTAAATTGGCTGCTCTAAATGGTTGCCTCCAAGCAGTGCAACAGCATCCCCCCCAGCCACTCTTCACTCCCCTTCCCCTTCCACCGTGGCTGAAGAAGAACACAACCTGTACAGCGCTAGTGGCGTTTTATCTTTCCTCCAGTGCACTACACGTCGGGCCTACGAGCAGGTCCTTGAGGTCTTGGATGAAAACCCTCGCAGGTGACCCCCCAATTGCCACAATCTCTCATTCGGCCAGTAAGGAGAGCGTCACACAGCGAGATGGCGGTCTTTTCTAGCAGTGAAGCCCCCTCAACATCACAGTTGTAATCAGATAGGATTGTAATGATATGTAAACCTTTTAATAATGGACCAACACATTAAGCATTTCAGGTGCAAAGGTCAAATGGCATAACAGTTTCTGCTGTCAATATGTTACAAGCTACTGGGATGCTAGCTGACCAAAAAATAACCCCTGCCATTAACTGTATGATAACCTGAGGTTGTGTAATAGGTACAAGTATAGTGAATAGTTTGACGCTGGTAAATTAAGGTTAAGAGGGCATCAAATGTTTTTTCCTTATCAAATGCGAGGACATAATTCGTCCAGGCAACACTGCGAGGTGCCATAATGTTCCATGCAACACTGTGTGTTTGCATGCCACCTTAACGACAAATGGGGTAGTGCTGCGTGCATATTAGAGTCAAATTTCAAAGAACACAATGCAGAATTTGTGAAATAAACTGTTATACTTGTCGGTTGAGCAAACTACCAGTCATAAATATTCTCATAATCCTCAAAGAAGTTAAAAATGTGCCAAATCTTGGTAACAAACAAGAGAAAGGGTTTGGCAGTTAGAACATCAGACTTAACGAGGGAGGTCAAATCAATTCAACTAAAATGAACCATGTTTGCAAATTGGCCAAACCAAAACATTTTTAACCTGTTTGGCAAGCGTTTTTATATAGAATAGGGAAGGATATCCACACACTTGCATGCTTTTGGAACAGTGTTTTGTGTAAGTGCTAGCTCTTATTTTTCCCTTTTTCCCCCCAACCCAAACCTGTATTTCCTCATCCCTGTAGAAAAACATCACTGCGAGGGGGGTCAGCTTCAAGCTCCAACCCCCTGCATGAATCCAGGTAACATCATGTAGCACTCACTTTTTCATTTTGTTCCGCTCCTTTAACCCATCCTTTCCTGTCTATTCCTCTTGTTTCATGCACCATTTGTCGTGAAATGAATGAAATTGCATAGACCATTTTACGTGAGGTATATTAAACACGTTTTAATCCAGGTTATTGTGCAACTGTTTTTTAAGGCTTGCATTATCAACATACGAAGGCTCTCTGGATGGAGGATCTGATGACATGACCATTGTAGATGCTGCAACACTTCGACGACAGGTTGGATCCTTGCAATAACAACATCGGTGTTTTGTGGCAAAGAGAGTTGATCTGGCAAAAACTAACTGGGGAAAAAAATGTACTTTTAATTTGTAGCTTATCAAGTTAAACCGACGGCTGCAGCTTCTGGAAGAAGAGAATAAGGAGCGAGCGAAGCGCGAGATGATCCTGTACTCTGTCACTGTCGCTTTCTGGCTCGTCAACACGTGGGTGTGGTTAAAACGTTAAAGTACATCTGTATCGCTGGTACCCCTGCAAAACAAGTTAACATATCTATGACGTGTGTGACATGTTACACTTGCTTCCATATGAGCAAGACCATAACCTATTGCACGAAGCACTCATGTCATGTTTTCTTTGGTTTATTTAATATACAGGGATGTCCATTTTTTTACAGCTGTGTTTTTGTTAGTTTAATCTGGTTCCGTATTTTTGTTTTTGATTCTAAATGTTGAGCAATGCTAAGCATGACTTGTAAATATGTATCACTTTAGAAAGGAGTAATGCTATATTTTGTTTCTAAATATAAATGTTGAGCAGTGCTTGCTGTGACTTGTAAATATGAAAGTAGTATGTCATTAATAAAGTACAGCTCTGTTTACCAAAGGAAAAATGCAGTTGTGATAGAGATTTGTAATTAAGTTGCATATTTATATATTTACATACAGGGTATGTACAACTGTGGTGCAAGAGGGAGGTTAGAATGTCTCCGCGTAAAACATGACTATTCTTCAAGTGTCCTTGTAAGAGCCGTTATCAAAATTCTATTGAACCTCCGTGGAAGGAGCTGACAAATACCATCTAGAGCAGGGGTCCCCAACCGCCGGTCCGCGGACCGGTACCGGTCCGCCGGGCATTTGGTACCGGGCCGCACAGAAAGAACTTGCCTTAATTCCGTTTTATTTATTTCGGAATACGAAAGATGTTTTATTTTGAAAACTTACCGGATTCTCCGTTACATCCGTCTGTGTCCAGCTTGACACACGTCAAGCCACGCTTCTCCGTAACGCGACCAATTACGCTAAAAACAAACACCGGAGCTCGCAAAATGAGTAAAAAAACTGCTGGAGATCGCAAATGACGGCGGCCTTAAAAGTACGTTCGAGACAACTGGATTAAAGTTATGGCTGAATACTCTGAGATCGCCACAATAGCACTGTTGCTATTTCCGACATCCTACCTGTGTGAGGCGGGGGGATTATGCAGCAACGGCGACGAAAACAAAATTACGAAGTAGACTGGACATAAACCACACACTTGCGGTGTCATTGTCTCTCCTATTACCCCGAGATGGGACCGTCTGGTTGCAGAAAATCAAGCTCGGTGCTGTGGTGAGTCGTCATTTTCATGCACTTTGAATTTGCGTTGTATCGTATTTTGAAGGCATTAAACATTGCCATAGCGATCGGAGTGTTGCGGCCAGATTAGACGCTCCTTGTGTTTATTATTATATTTCGAAAACACCACAGTTTTCATGCAGCTCATACCATATTATTTCCGCCACACCTTAAATGCCGGTCCCTGAAAATATTGTCTGACATAAACCGGTCCGTGGGGCAAAAAAGGTTGGGGACCCCTGATCTAGAGAAAGCACCCCTCAAACATGGGACAATTGAATCAGTTTTCTAATGAAAAGCAGGCCAAAATACCTGCTGAGAGGTGCAAACGCCACACTAAAAGTTAACTAACATTTGAATGCAGTGATTGCTTCAAAAGGTTGTGAACAAAATATGAAGTGCCACTATTTTTGTCAAGGCCTGCTTGATGAGTTCATTAATTAAAATAATACAGTTGAACCACAGCTGATTTTTATTGGTTCTTTCAATTCACATTTCTTAATTACTTTTGGAAGTTCCAGGATATTTCTAACTACTGTGGGCTTTTGTTTCATTAACAGAGGGGTACCAACACGTGTCCACGTGTCTTTAGCCGCAGAATTTAAACATTGAGCATCCTACACATCAACCTGAACAGGATAATCAGTCAGACGGTGTCCTCAATCAGAGACCACCTTCATTTTGAAGCTCCTCAATCAGACAATGTGGTTTCAAGGACATTTCGCTTGTTTGGAATTTTGCATCTGGGGTAGGAGTGTCCCTATCTTCTGGATAGATTAATGATGAATCAGGATCTTTGGTTAACTTGCAGACACTTGGACACACTGGATTTTCTCCACGAAAATGGGTAACTTTTCTGACTGAATGACCCTCGCGGTCGTCCCTTGTAATGACTTCTATTCTTGGTCTCGCCATCAAATTGGAAAACATTTCTGAGACATTCTCTGGCTCCACATCTTCCAGGTCGGGCAGATCATCCACATGAAGTGGACCTGTTAGCGGAATGGTTTCCAACTGCTCTGCATCCACCAGTTCGGTCACGTGTAGGCCAGGACTGTGGGATGATTCGGGGGAAGTCACTCTTACGACAGGAAGTAGTTGATGTGGAATGTTCACTTCTTGCCCTGCGTCATTGCTTAGGGTCACTCTCTCTGGTTCTTCCCTGTTATCATCCTCGGGTGTGTCCTTGTATAATTCCTTACCATATTTCTTTGCTTCAAAATATTTGTCGGGAACCTTTTTGTGGGGCAACTGTTTTGTTTTGTTTTGTATCAGCTCCTCACGGGCATCCAAAGTGTCTTGAACAAATACTTGGATTTTCTCTACAGGTGGTTCCTCGTAAGAAGCCTCTGGGTTGATTAAAGGCTCGGTTTCACCTGAAATTGATCAAAATGGGAAACATCTTCATGAGTATATTAAAACACGTAATTTTTCATCAGCCTCTCCTAGGAGGCAAAATACTGTAATCATAAATATGTAATTGATTTTATTTTACAAAGATGTGTCATCTTGTAAACTGACTTTTAAAAATTTAATAATGTATTAGTTAATTAGGACCTTAGGCAAAATCAATGTACTATATGCTCAGGATTTGTTTTTTAGAAAATAAGTGTAAGAGTTGGCAAGTAAAAAGCCATAGAAACTAATTTTTTTTGAGCCCTTTGGAAAGATGGAAAAATGTGCAAATCGACTTGTATGAGTACTGAACTCGCCAACCTCTCTGAACGTCCATTTTCATGTGTTGTTTCTCCTGGGCTTTATTTCGGATCATTGCCAAAGCATCCAAGCCTTCCTGAATTTTTCTCCTTTCTCGTGTGTTCCATTGCTCTGCCTCCTTGCGTTCCTCCTCAATTCCACCACGTGCCCAAGCCTCTGCACACGCCTTGTCTTTGGGGAAAACAGGCCTGTCATCAAGGAAGGTCAGCTGCTTCAGGCGCACAATCAGTGTCTTTCTGTAGTTGGGGATTTTTTTCACGACTTCATTGCCCATCAAGTTAAGGACTCGCAGTTCAGGCATGGCTTCAAGCACAGCAAGAATACCAGGATCAGTTAATAGGTTGTGAGACAGATCCAGCACACTGATGGATAGACACTGAATCAAATGCTCTATGTCCCCAATTCCCTCCAGTTTGTTATGGGCAATCTGCAGAGTAGTAAGTTGAGGAAGGCAAGAAATGTTCTCAATGGTCTGTATGTAGTTATTGGAGACATTTAGAGTGCACAGGCTTTTTAGAGGCTCAAGATTTTCCAGCTTGCGGATAAGGTTCTGCTGAAGAAACAGACAGCGAAGGTCAACTTGTGCATCCAGGTTATCAATCTGTTGCAGCCCATTGCTTTCTAGCCAAAGACACTTCAGTCCTGTGTACTCCTCCAAATTTTCAATGCTGGCGAAACCTTTAAAATGCAGATACAAGGTGTCATTCAGGCATGGTGTTGAGTAGAGTTTGTACTGCTTACAGTGGTCTTTTAAAAATGTCTTGGTCATCCGCGGCCCTGAAGTCTTTCCGTGTTCTTTCTTTTCTCCACCTCCGTCCTGTATCGCGGTAGCTTGAGCAGATGTTTCCCCGTCTTCAACTCCCATTTGAATGGTTGTTGACGTACTATCATGTTGTGGTTCACCAACCTCAGTCAGCAACATTGTGCCAAAGATGTCTGCGCTTTGTGTTTAAGTGTCGCGGTCCAAAAGAAATCCTTAGCTGGCTGGAGTTCGTTGAATCACCAAAAAACTCAACGTGTTAGTTGACGTTTTGTTCCTATGGTAACGCTCTGAGAAGAGGACGTTGTCACTTGTTTCCTGTCGGACTTGTTTAGCTGACGTACCCTCTATCAAAGTAGTAAGCATGGCGTCGGGGGTTATTCTTAATCGAGGCGCGTTGACGTTTGGGACATACTGCCAACATTTGAGTTGGAATGTCACAGTCACGCAGGTTCGAGGGATTAAGCGTTGGATGAGGGCCTATACACATCTAATGGCAAAAAAGCTAAAGCTTGAAGGTCCTCCACTTCCGAAACCAAGGTGAGGCTAACGTCGACGAAAACAACTTAGTTCGAGATCGCCTCGAGAGCCATGAATAATTTAGATTAGTTAATTGTTGCATATTTTTTAACGTGTAAAACTTTGTATTGCAATTTGCTATAATTATCACTGGCCGTGAACATGCAATCTTGTTATCCACTAACCCTGCAACCTGGGCTAATGGGGAAACAGTCAGCAATGCTGATCCCCATTCACTTTAATTGAAGTTCAAGTTCTGTGCTGGACTATTTGAAATTACGTTGAATATATCCGAGTCTTTGAGAGTCAATGCAAAAGCTATATGAATGAACGCACGAATGGGTGTTTTTGAGCGGCCCATTCTGATGATGATGTCATCGATTATTTGTTGTGACTGTAGTTTGCACTTTGCTGCATTGTACAGCGGCCCTGCATCATACTATGAGATGTTTGCCCTCCATATTTGGATACATGGAGTTAATTATTGTAAACACTGCACAGCATCATGCAATGTATACTAAAATAACTATAACATTTAAAGGTCACACTGACAAGGACAATCAAATAGAATTATATTTACACATTTTTATACATTTGTTTGATCTTGTATTGGGTCACTTACTGCTTCTAATTGAAGTGTGTTTCATTTGCAATGTTAGTGTAAATGTAATCCATGTTTTATTTCAATTCCAAACTAATTTTCTTGTTTTAAACCTCATATCAATGCCACCCAATATTGTAGTGATTGATTGTTTTCAAAATACAACACTCTAATCAGCTACAGATGTGATTTCTTTCAGATCTCAAAAGCCTAATTGGGATTACCATGCTGAGGTTCAGGCTTTCAGCACCCGCCTCCATGAAAACTTCTCCCTGGAGCGACTGAAAACAGCTTTCATAAATCCCTGTTACCTGCAGGCGGAGCTGAAAAGGAGACAAGAGCTGGGCATGGACTCTGAAGTCACAGCTCTTGCTCTGCATGATAATATTGAGTTGAGTGCACAGGGAGATGCCTTCACAAAAATCTTCCTTACTGATTGGTGCAGGGCTAGCTTTCCCAGCTTGCCAACACAAGGGGTGGAAAGTGTCGTGAGACACCTCACTAGCGTAACCCTAGTGAGCAATGTAGCACAAAATCTTGGTGTTGAGGATCTAACCATGAGTTTACAATTCCCTGTCCCGGACAATGTACTTCATTCTACATTCATGGCACTGATTGGAGCACTACATGACAGCAGTGGAACAGAACGCACAGGATACTTCCTCAGGGTGAGAATTGATCAATCAGTTCACATAATGAGGTCTCGGGCTGGGCGATAATTCAATATAAATATGTATTGCGATAGACATCAGTTAGTTCGATATCAGTAGAAAATGCTTTCGATAAAAAAAAGTATCAGAAAGCAAATCCAAGCATGAAGTGGAATACACTATTTCAACGAAGAAGAGCCATTCTATCCAACGATAAACCAGCAGCCAAACCACTGACGAAAAAGTGTGCATGTATTAGATCATGATATACTTTTCAGTCATATCGCCCAGCCCTAATGACGTAAGAGATCTTTGTTTAGCTTTGTTTGAAAACGAAGGGTTGAATAAATTTCCCTTCTCACGGGTTTCTGCATTTTCTCAACCTCAGGATTTCCTAGTTTCCCAGCTAATAGGAAAAGACCTTTTTGATATGTGGACAGTGGTCAATCCAATGGGCCTTCTGGTGGAGGAACTCGGTAAGAGGAATGTTCCCCCACCAGAGCCCCGCCTCATCAGGTCTGCTGGGTCCAGCACTGTTCTACCGCTCTACTTTGTTGGTTTGTACAGGTATGTGTATGTCTGTTTACATAAATTGTATTTCATTTGTCTTTTATAATAAATGCATGTATTCTGTTCCCTCCATTGTATACATCCAGTGATAAAAAGTTCCTGGCCCAGGGTCCAGGTGAGACACTTATTGCAGCGGAGGAGGAGGCAGCTCGTGTGGCCCTGCGAAAACTCTATGGCTACACTGAGGACCGCAGACCCATCGACTTTAGTCCACAACCACAGCATGAGCATCCTTTACTTCAAACAGTCAGCAGCAATTCATAGAAGAACACTTGGCTTGCTTCTTGTAGCTGAAGAAGAACTTCCCAACTTATTGTCAGCAAAATAATGTGCTTATTGAGATCATTGTCTGTTTTGTGGTCTTAAAATGTCTATCTAAACAAATGCATGTAAGTTGCAGGTTTTGTATTCGGTTTTAGAATGCATGTATAAAAATATATTACCTGCCCTGGGTGACTTACAGAAAAACAATCAATGTTACAAAATTGCCTTGTCTTTACATTGACTATCCAGTGTAACTATATAATTTACAATTATAGTTTATCTGTTCACTTAGAATTAAAAAAAAATCAGGTGGGATATATGTCTAAGTGATTAAGATCATCACAACTTTGTCGTCTCGATGCACAAAGTATGCAACCTGTACTTGTATACTATTGTCTATTTTTATTGCGTGACATGATATTATGCTAATGTTACAAATGCAAGTAATTTGAAAGTGCGTTTCATTATGAAATTGCAAATAGGAACTTTTGGACATGCAAGTGTTGGCTGGCACTAAAACTACTTAGTTCCTTACCCAAATATTGAATTCCATTCAATGCAATTTAAATTTATGTTCCTTTTTTTCAGCAGATGGTGAATATTTAAGTGCAAACATTCATAAGGAATACATTCCCATGGCGTTTATGTGTGCACATGGTAGTTTTACTTGATTGATGTTTTCGAAATGAGGGGTGTGTGTGTGTGTGTATATATATAGAGAGAGAGAGAGAGATGGAGATAGATAGATAGATAACGTCAACGAATGCGGAAAGTTGATGGCGATACTGTACTACAGATAACTGATTTGACTTCTCATGCTGCATTCTGCAACCTCTGATTATTTCTAAACCGCCTTCCGCTCTGTTCAACCAACAGGTTGACCAGAAGACGGACCAAAATGTTTTGTCATTTTAATGACATGAAATTTCGAAGTTATGTGTTAAAAATTCAAACTATTTCAGTTTGTTGTGGGAAACCACATGGAACATTGAACAAAACAATGTCAACATTTCAAAAAGTATCCTGACGACCACGATGTTAAAACTAAGAACAGACGTACTGATGACGCCACAAATCTTGACAATCGACTTTTACAAGCAAATATGTCGTGGATGTAAGCGCCCCACTGTGTTGCCTAGCGTATCGTAACTTCCCAGCATACATTAAACGCACCATCAAAACTCCAAGAGGAGTCGCCAGGCAGCCCTGTCAACTGAGCCACCTACCTTTCCCTCCCTCCCTGCTCAACGAGTTGCCAACCTTTATAAAGCGCACACCTTTAGACTCTCATCAGGTCACCAAATATTTCTCTTTAGTCGATTCGCGTTGTGTAGACATAATCATGGCGGCGAGTGCGAAACGAAAGCAAGAAGAGAAACACCTGAAGATGCTGAGGGAAATGACGAGTTTGCCTGCTAACAGAAAGTGCTTTGACTGTGACCAGCGCGGCCCGACCTACGCCAACATGACGGTGGGCTCCTTCGTGTGTACCTCCTGCTCTGGCATCCTGTGAGTTCCCAAGCCGCCCGACCTCATAGTCGCATGGAGATGGCGTGCCCACCCCGAGCACAATGTTAGATTTAACCCGACATATGGTTACTACGAGCGGTTAGCCTACCCGCTACTGGCTAACGATGGCTGCTCGAGCATCGTTGGTGTTGCCGAGAGTTTAAATATGTACTTTTAGACATCATATTTTCAATGTTGATCAGGCTGAAGCAAGACGCCTCTTGCTTCACTTTGGTGTTTGACTTTGGCCTATCATGGCAGCCGGGTGAACGAACTGACATTTACACCAGCTAAGTCAACACACTCTGCGCCTGGCACCACGACCGGTTGCTTGTCAAACCTACCAACTGAGCTCGCCAAATGTAGTACCTAGTATACGGACGTATAATAGGATCACTCCTTTTGGGTGTTTTGACAGTAATATGAATACAGTCGAGCGTGTTTTAGTTTAAGCTTGACAGTGCAGTTGTGTAATCAAGCATCTGTAGCCTGGGATTTGGGATTAGTAAGCGTTCTCCGACGGGTATTGAGATAGCACTTGGTACTCAGGATGCAGGGTTCCTAAACTCCCTGAAAATCATTTCCATGACTGGAAATTTGATCAATCTTTTACCAGTCATGGAAAATGAGAAATAAAAGTAAAAGGGTCAAACAGAGCAGTGGTCCCCAACCACAGGGCCAGGGCAACCAGTACCGGTCCGTGGGTCATTTGGTACCGGGCCGCACAGAAGGGATAAATAACTTGCATTACTTCCGTTTCATTCATTTCGGAATCTGAAAGATGTTTTTAGTTGAAAAAAAAATGACCAGATTCTCTGTTACATCTGTCTACAGGATGTCACTCAAGGCGCGCTTCTCGGTCACGTGATGGGTTACCGCAAAAATGAAACCCAGGAGCCAGCAAAATGAGTTAAAATGAAGGTCTTGGTCTTGTTTTGGCAAGGGGAAAAGGCCCAGCCAGGAGACAGAAGAGGAGCCTATGACTTTCAAGAAAATGAAGGCTACATTTAATAGACAGTATCAAGAGTCCTACCTAAAATACGGATTCATCTCAACGGAAGATTCTCACGCACCAAGCCCGTATTTTTCCTGCACTTTTTATTTGCGCTATATCTTATTTTGAAGGCACGTTTACACATTACCACAGTGACCAGAGTGTTGCGACCAGATAGGACGTTCCTCATGTCATGATTTGTGTTTAATCTGTTTAGAAAATACCACAGTTACCAACAAAATGCATATTCCCTCATAACAGTTCTGCTGCAGTGTTTCCACTGTTAAGCGTTACTGACCTTTCCCTCCCAAGGAAGGATTTATTTTCTCCAAAGAAGCGCCAAAGCCAGCGGCTTCCAGTTAAAGTTTGTTGTTGTCGTGCTTTATATCGAATGGCAGTTTTTTTTCTCCCTCTCTCTGTCTCTTCGATTGAGTGACAGAGAGCTGTAGCGGCCGTGCTGTCACTTTTGGCTGTGCACGGTGAGATGAAATACATCTCTGGTTTCAGAAGAGCTGCAGCGGCAATCGTCAGTCGCTGCAGCAACGGGTAACAGGTAGTCTTCCTTGGCCACTTTCATACTTTCACCATTGTCCGACAGCAAAAACAGAACATATGTGAATGAGAAAACTTCATTAGGAGTTCAGCTCTATTAAAATACAGTGTATGTGCACAGAGAGCAGCACTCAGACTTTTACTGCAGTTTTTTTTCCCCCTTTCATTCTGGGGCAGTGTGCAAAGTGCGTAATTGGTGAAACTTTCCCAGCAGTTTGAGGTTGTATAATATGAAAATGGAGAAATAAAGGTGAATAGTGAAACTCTGCAATTCAAAGAACAGACTGAAATATTTGTACTCATTCCTCTTTCAACCATCACTGACCCATGTGACCCAGAATCTATGGAGGCCCTGTCCACATGGAAATGGAGCTGATGTTGTTGGTTTAAAAAAAAAAAAAAAAAGTTTCCTGTAAACATGATGTTGATTTTTGCCAGGAAAAAAAATACAGAATAATCGGCGGGTTTAATCCTAAAAATTATGATGCATAAAATTACCTTTTTTGTTTTAATTCATTAATATTTACTTTGTTTTGAATGACAGATGCAGAGAATGATCTTATCAAGAAATGTTATTTATATTGAAGGATACAAAGTTGTGCTTTAAATTTATGTGTAATAAATCATGAGAACCGCTGCAAAAAAAGCGGTAAAAACAATTCGCAAATATCGCTTATTTGATTATTTGGGCTGATGTTTGAAAGGCCATCGTCGTCTGGTCGATTTAACTTTACAATTTAAAAATTGCATTTTTTAAAATGCATTTGAATTACGCTTACCATTTGATGTTTAAAATAAAGATAACAGTTAAAAGGGATGGGTAGGCAAATGGATTGAGTGTAAAGAATCTGGTCAGTGGTTTGGCATGGATTGTTTGATGTGTTTTGATTCATTATCAGTTTCCAATTGTTGCCAAGGTCAACCTTTTAATGAAGTTTTCAGGCCCTTTTTTAAGTAACGTTTTAACATTACTAAAAGTCATACAAATAGAAGTGCACAGTAAACGGTCAATGAAAGCTCAGCACAAATTGGGTAAGGAAACATAAATTTGAATTCTAACATCTTGGGTGTCAGAAGGCAAGCACACACTGTCTGTCCGCTGACTGTATGAAGCCTAATCTGATTGTAGTTCGAGGGGGCAGAATAGTTTTCTGCGGTGTCACCAGCATGTGATGTGCATGTGAAAACAGGAAGTGGTGGAGATATCTTGCTTTCGCGCTCAGACTTGCAAAGAAGTTGGCATTGTGCATGCTCCAACTTGATTTTTTTTTTTTTTTGTCTGCCGTCCCAACATATACTCTAACTTTGAGTGACTACACAAGCATAACTCACTTTTAGCCCCCAAGTGGTGGGCGAATGCTGGTTTTATGAGTCTTCTATTGCTCTAAATATCAGGTCAAGTCAACTTTATTGTCAAATGTGCTCTATGTGCAACAGACAGCGCAGATGACATTTCTTTCCTCTCAACCTCGGTGCAAACACAGGAGAGAGAGGAGCCGCTGCGGGTACCCGCAATATTACACAAGCTGAAACATTGTGTCAAAGCTCTGTTTTTGATGAAGTGACCCATATTTTGGGAATGTTGTTTATGTGTTAAAACGTATTACAAAGGCACCAATACCTTCCTCAGTTTCTACCCCAATAATTGTGGTTGCTCAATGGGTGGAGCTGTAATCCATTATGTAAACACATTCCTCATGAAGGTGGAGACTTTCCCTTGAGGAACTCTACTCACAATGTCTCCTTTGCTCTTTCCGGAAATTTGTACTCGGCATCAAGTCACACCACTTGACCCAAGTATGACCACTGTACCGTCGTTAGATTTACATGAATAAAAGCTGCAAATCTGTTTTGCCAAGCATCATACTGATATGATTTTTATGTGTCAAAAAAGGGGAACAAGCAACCCCCTCATAATAATGAACGGCTCATTTCATGGATGGAAATCAACAGTTGAGAGAACAGTATTTAACGGGTGTATAATTCACTGATTTGACTCCTCGTATTTTTTGCTAGTGTTTAGACCAACAGTATATATTATTTTGTAGAAACTGTACTCAATCGTTCAATAAAATTGACGTGCTATTTTTTTTTCTTTTCTTTTTTTTATATTCCACAGACGAGGACTGAATCCACCCAACAGAGTCAAGTCCATTTCCATGACAACCTTCACACAACAGGAAATAGAATTTCTACAGAAAAACGGCAATGAGGTAGTTTTGGCTGTCAAAGAGAGAAAAAAAAGAAGTTGCCATTGCCTTTGTGATCAGGTAGTGAAAGTTAAATTAAGAGATGACATTGAATTTTGAAAACCGACCCGAGTTCTCAAACAAAATTCCTTTCTATAAGTTGTGCATTTTTATAATACTTTTAGGATTTGTGGAGGAATTGGGAAAAAAAAGAATTTCCATTCCTTTTAAAAACGGCACATCCTTTCAAATTGGCACTGCACAAAACAGATTTCTGCACAAACACCCCAGAGGTCTTTCGCCCTATTCACACTGCACTTAGCAGAATGACATGAGAGACGGGCACCGTGGAATTGAACCTGCGGTGTCTGTATCCTGAGCTTTGGTCCACAAGACTGATGACGTATATTAACGGGTTGAAGAAGATACTGCTCCCTGCTGGCCCGAAATAGACCTTAAAGCTTGAGGTATATTAAAGAATATACTGTAGTCAAATTCAATTAAACTCTCCGAGTGGATGCATCCATTCTGTTTTCTGCTGCTTGGCTCCACTTTCTCCTCCTCAAAATGAGCAGAGCCGGAGTTTTCTTTTGCAACAATGAAAGATAGAACTTGTCAAGTTGTGGTCTACTTCTCGTCTAAACCAGTGGCCGCTGTCTCCGTGTTTATGTCAGCGCTTCCAAATATGGGTACGCTTGGCATTGTGGCACCGTTGTCCCTTCGCGGAACCCTTTCTCACTGAGCAGGTGCAGTGTGAAAAGGGCTTTAAAGTAATACATTCTCAATTGTTAAATAAAAAAAAAAAACATCTAAATGTTGATGTCACATACAGTAGTTTTATAGTAGGCAATGGACCAACATACAAAATCATACAAATGTATGTTATAAAATATCTGCCAAATATAGTTTCTAAATTCAAATGCGCATGAATATTTTTATATAAAAGGGACCTGAATAATAAATATTAAAGAAAGAGGAAGGAGAGTTCTACCATGTTTGATGGAGTAAATACGTACACTGCTGATCACCGTGACCGACGAAAATGATCACAATCAATATGTTCGATTATTTCATTGCCCAGTCCGAATGGAAGGGCAGCTTTTAAATCAGGATAAATGATTGTTTCTGAATGTGGGCAAGCAATCTAATTCTTAGATTGATTTGAGCCAAAAGATTCGCCTTTAACACAAAATCATCATGAGCTATAAACCTTAAATTTTGCGTAGTGCAAATAGTATTCGCAACAAGCCACACTGTGCAACATCAAATTCATTCAGTCATGACTCATGACTGAATTTCTGGTTGTCACTGCAATGCACCGTCTGTTTCTAACTAGTGTGCTTCTATCTTATGTATTTGTCATGGCAATGGTGCACCCAAATGTTGCAGTTACTGTTGTGGTGTCTATGTATGTTGAAAATAAAATAAAACTAAGAATAGCAAAGTGCGGTCACATTGGTGGCTGGGTAAAATGGGCCAACATAGAATGATTGGCATTGTGACAGAGTTGGAGCTGAGTCGCATCCTGTAATTCACACAAGTTTATACACCGCGTTAGTCAGGTCTGACGACATAACCAGTGGCCAGTTTCTTGTTCTCTTACCATTTGTGGCATTTTTTGGGAGAATTTAAATGTTAATTCCAGAATCTGAAGCTTGGCTTTGGTCTGTACACCACTCCATGCCATTTCACTTTGCCGAACAAGCTACAGTAATTTTTTTCACTCTTGCAATCGTCTCAAGAGCATTTCTAAGTGTACATTGATTGTGCACTTACAGCAAATAATTTGAATCTCTTATCGTCACCCATATTCAGATTACTGATATACCGGACAGGCTAAACTACATCATTTATTCAGCAGTAATTTCAGGAACAGCGAATATAAAATACAGCATTGTCTCTTGGGAGGCGGCGTCTATTTAAAGCTCTAGCAAAGCAGCAGACTCAAGGTTAAAGCAGTCATAAATCCTCCAGAGCTGTTTTATAAATACTACAGCCTTCAAGTGGCCTTATGTCTGTCCATAGAGACACTTGGCATTGATTGCAGTGGTGTGCCCATATGCATGCCTGTGAGCTGCATATTTAGCCCACAATCTAAAAACGTGACTGTGATGCACACACTGGCCAGCCCCCACAATGACAACTTTGCTTTTATTCTACCTCGCGGAGATGGCGCTTCATCACCAAGCCATCAAATTGCACTTGTCCGTGTTTGCGGTGCATGCAGTGGATACATTGCCAATCACAAATGCTTGCCAACTTCACAGAGCGATCATATGCCACTTATCAGAAGTGAAAACTAATGCGAGCCTGTACATCCAGTGAAACTCAATGCAACTCTGCTTACCTTTTGGCCATGACTCCTACTGTTGATTGGAAGAGGCTCTGGATCTTTACCGAGTCTCGCTTCCAAGTCATGGGAGGAGAAACTGTGGTTATCATGTCCAGTAAATCAGTGTGCCCGGGCACATTAGTGTGCCGTGAGAGCTCTAACGGTGTGCCACGGGAACTTATCAAATTGGTGAGAAAATTATTTTATAACAAATAATGTATCTTTGTCCATCTATCTATGCCAGCAACTTATAGTGACCGAAGAACAAATAAATGATCTTCTATTAGATGGCAACAAGTATGAAATTGACATATGTATCCTCATTTTGTGACAAATTTGTTCAGTGGTGTGGTGACTTTGTTTTTTTTTTTTTTTTTTGTGAACTTCAAAAATGTGCCTTTGCTCAAAAAAGGTTGGGAATCACTGCAGTAAAGTATACACATGGCACTGGGGTGGAAATTTAGGGTCCACTCTCACACACATATAATATAGCATAATCGTCACTTTGTCTAGGTTCACACTGCAGGCAAATGCGACTCAGATGGGATTTTTTTTTTTTGCCCAGATGTACCCTGTATCAGTTTTTTATGATAGTCTGTGTGGCTCAATTCAGATTTTTTTTTTTTTTTAATTCGGCCTGGGTCACTTTTGGTTTTTTTTTTTTTTTTTTTTTTCAATTTATATTTGCAATGCAACTGCAGTCCTGATCAGTCAGATTTCATTTATCTGACCTATACAGGTAAATCATCCAAAGACAGAAGTGCTTCATGGGTAGATTGGCAATTGCCCGTGAATCTGCAAAGTTGTTTGGAGCAGCAGTATTGACTATTTATTCGTTTTCTAATCCGCTTCTCCTCACGAGGGTCGCAGGCATGCTGGAGCCTATCCCAGCCGTCATGGAGCATTAGGCAGGGGACACCCTGACCTGGTTGCCAGCCAGTCGCAGCAGTACTTGACTATTTGACTTTAATTTAATCCCACTTGAAAAGCCTCGCCTTAATTACCCAAATTATTGATCACTCCTCAGGCATCACTCCTCTATAAATATGAGATAATTGAAAAGATGAGCCCCTACTCGCTGGACCATATTGACTTCGGTAAACACTACCTTGTCAGGGACGTCGTTTCTTCTTCTGCACATTCGGGTAACTTTGGGGAGGCATCTGGTTCACACACCAGACAAACTGTGGTCACATTTAAAATGTAATTTGAAGCACCTGCAGTTAAACAGTCCCCTATGACATAATGTGTTAAAGCCATGCTGAACTCTGTGTCAAGAATTAATTGGTTTTCGATTGTGTATGTTTCAGGTATGTAGACAGATCTGGCTAGGCCTTCATGATGGGAAAACCTCATCCGCACCAGATTTCAGAGAACCCCAGAAAGTCAAGCAGTTCCTTCAAGAAAAATATGAGAAGAAGCGATGGTAAGATACCTCTTGAAATTAAATCATTGCATAATAAGGAACCCTTGTTCGACTTGCCCCTGAATTACCGGAGTCAGAATAAGGTTAAGGTGACTGGAAGTGTAGTGGCAGAAGGTAAGGGTTCTATTCCCGGGCCAGTACATAAGTGGCGAGTTGCAAAAGGGCATCCAGTGTAAAAACTATGCCGAACAAATCATGCAATTTTATTTGCTGTGGTGTGGCCTCTGATGACACAAACTGAAAGTGGCAGCAATCATGCCATTTACATCTGAAAATGTAATGCTAGTAGTTGCTTTGTTGTGTGCTTTGCTCCTCAGGTATGTTCCACCTGAGCAGGCCAAGGTAGTGGCATCCGTCCACGCGTCTATCTCTGGCTCCTCAAACAGCAGCACAAGCAGCACTCCAGAGGTCAGACCTCTGAAATCCCTCCTTGGGGACTCGGCACTGACCCTCCATCTCAACAAGAACCCCCCACCCAATCAGGTAAGATTCCTTCAATACCTACAACTGTACACAAGTTGAATTTGTAAATGTCACCCCCCCAGGGTTGTGACGATACCCGCATGTATGTCAATACTTTTCGATGCTTTTTCAAATAAAAAAGGAACGAAAAAAGAAATGTCACGACTGACTGTTTCATGCGCACAATCAGTGAACAGAATAAAATACCATAAAAACAAGCTTTTCAAATGCATACAATTTTCAAATGAATAAAAAACATGTTTTTTTTTTGTTGTTGTTTGTTTGTTTGTTTGTTTTTTGTGACCTTATCTTTCTACCTGATAAAGACAGAATATTTGACACTACTCTGAAAATGAAACAATTTAGTTCTACACAACAATAATAAACAAATTATAAAATAATACCTCTCGATCAGGGCCAATCGAAACGGGAGTTCCCGTCTCTCTAAAGGATGACTTTGTGATACACTTGGATTGAATTGGATGCAGGTTTACCGAAAGGGTTAGTGTTGGTACACTCTTACCACTTTCTGTAAGGCAGGCCCGTTTACAATTAAGTATCTTGTCTCTGCCAGTCTCCAGTCATCAGCCGTGGGCAAACCCATCAACAGCACGACAAGAAGTTTGACCTCCTCAGTGACCTGGGTGGTGACATCTTTGCTGCCCCACCAAAAATGAATGCAGGCGCCAGCTCCAGTTTTGGAAACTTCGCACATTTCAACAGCCACACAAGTAAGGTTCTAGTATTTGTAACTTCAATAAAACAGCATTGATGTCGAAACATCTTAGCAGGAATGCCATTACAGAAACCATGACAATTTGTGATCTGCAGTCATTTCATATTTACGTCTCAGCTTTTAATGCTGCTCTGCATGAAAGATCACATGGCATCCCATCTCTGATTATGTCACATTTATCCCATAATCCTATGTGTGTGTGTTTTTTTTTTCTTTTTTCAATCTCATCCATGTTCTGTACTATGTTAAATTTCATTCTCCTTTCATTGTCTTTGTTGGTCTCTCTCTATGTGAACGTCATCGTGACTACTCCTCCAGCGGCACAGAATGCCAACACAAATGCAGACTTTGCTAATTTTGATGCATTCGTGAGCACTCCTGGGTCTATGTGTGGTTTCCCTTCAGCGCCCCAAGCCTCATTCCCAGCCTCAAGCACAGGTAGATCAAGTTGCCTTCACTGGACACATGCCCAACTGCAAAACAACCTTTTGTAATGGAATTACTTTCATCCAGTATTCCAAATATTTTGGAGCTTTTCTCGTGACTTTGAGGCACTTGAAGGGGCACTTTAAAAATGTAAATCATATCTTCTTTGTTTGGGCAGGGCTCAATACATGTGCTTCTAAATAATGATTATGAAAATAAGGTAGCTCTCGTGTAGCATGTTAGATTTGTGATAGGCAAGCCCGTCTTAGAGTTCTGAGGTCACTTGGTTTGAATGGCATTTTCATGTTCTCCTCCTGCTTGCGTGGCTTTTCTTATGGCACTCTGGCTTTCTCTCGCATACAAAAACTCGCACGTTAGGTTAATTGAAGACACAATTTTGCATCGCAGTGAACGGGAGTCCAGTCTTTCAGCAGCACTCTATTTGCTTTGACCTCTTAATTGTGTGCGTGCATCTTGTGCAACATATGTTTCTCCACCTTGCGTTGCTCATTGCCCCATGACTCATTTTCATCATTTTCGTTTTTGATCTTTGTTGATTGCTGCTTTTGGGCCTGCCAGCATTGACTGTCCTCTCATCCAGCTGCAGTACATATGAGTTAGCAACTGCTCCGCCTCTCCAGGTTGTATTCAATCGGTCTCACATTGGGTTTGGCCTCTTTCATTATCCAGCGTGCAATGTGTTGTCAGCTGTTTTCCTCCTGTCTTTCAAAGGCTGCAAGAAAACATGTGAATCCTTTGGAATAGCATCGATATGTTTATGAGTTTGTGGCGATTCTTGCAATTGTATTTGTATATTCTAGCTGCAAATTCTTTATGTGAATTGAAAGGACATTTTACAATCCAGCTGGTGGGAAACTGATGATAAGTCTGTGTTATTATTATTGTCCCTGTATAGAACTGCTGCAGACATTGCATCAAAGGGTGGCCATATGGACCGGGTTGAAAACCGCGGAAAAGTGTTGTGAACTTGCACAGGAGGATAGATGATGTTACCGTACTTTTGTCAGTTTGGTTTTCTTTGCCACTCTCGATTGATTTCAGTTTAGCGCTCAACTTGCGATTAGCGCGCATATTGGAAAAGGTGCTGGTCTGCACATCCCGTAACTGAGTGCAGAGGATGCAATAAAGAATCCACTCTCCAGTGCCTGACTCCTCCCCAGCGTAACTCATCATCTTCTCGCTCTTGTATCTTGTCACAGAGCACCAAGAATCCACGTCCCCTCATGACTCAATGACAATCTCTCTCTTTTATGCAGGTAGTGCTTCAGGGGGACTAGCAAATGCCAATTTTGCAAATTTTGACAACTTCCCCAAATCATGTAGTGCCGACTTTGGATCCTTCAGTTCGTCCTCCCAGAGTAACTCCACAGGAGCAGTCAGGGACACCGTACAGAGTACTAGTGTCCCTGCCGATAAATACGCAGCCCTCGCTGACCTGGATAACGTGTTTAGCTCTGGCAAAACAGAGCAAGGTAAACCTTTCCTACCTAGCCTGTTTCATCAAGCTCAGTTGTTTGGATTGTTGCTTGTATGAAAAAAGTGCACGTCACACCAAAAATACATTTAGTGGCAAGTCAGGGCTGATTCATTTAAGTCATGAATTCTGTAGCTATAGCTGAGCCAGTTACACTTTAAGGAGGACTACCTGTTCTCTGGTTCCTTGGCTGTGATAATCCCAAACCACAACAAGCCTCAGCCTCAAAATGCGCTTCAAAAGATGAGCCTTGGTTTTATTAACGACTCTAATTAGGAAAAGTTGACGTTTGGTGATGGAGAAATATTACATTTCTAAAGTTTGATCATGTATTCGATTCAATTGTTCAGAGATTACCGTTAAATGTGGCAGGTGTTTCCAGACCTTTCGCCTTGAGCTTCGAAATGGAAAGAAATCTCTCTCATTGGTTGGAATTGGTTGTGCTCAACTCAGCCCCCTTGTTGTGTGTGTCTCCCTTCCAGGGGGGGCTATTCCTACTGGGGTGAGTTCAGTTTCTGCAGTGTCTCATAACCAACCGGCACCAGGAACAGGAGGAGACCGCTATGCTGCTTTAGTTGAACTTGATACAGTTTTTGGCCCCCCAGCTCCCACCTCAGGTCTTTACAACAACAGCAGCAGCACACAGGGGTGAGACACCATGCTGCTTCTCAGTTCCCATTTTGGCAACATCTAACAACCGAGTCATATGTGGTATGATTTCTTGGCCAGAGTTTCCTTTAGTTCAGCGACTGGAGTGTCCGCACAACAAGTACTACCTGGTATGGCTCAAACGTTTGGGGGTGAGTAAACAATCAGTCATTTTAAGACATTTTTTTTTTTTTTTGTGGGGGGGGGTCGTACATCAGAATTGCAATTGAAAGCATCTGTGGCCTTAAGAAACCTCAGTTACCTCATTGTTAAAATCCTGTAAGCAGGATTCAGATGTGTTAACATCAAGGATACACAGACTGCGGGTCTGCGCTAATATGAGAGAACATCTGCTCCTGACCTCAGGTTTTACATGTAAAATTTTGTTGCACTCCATACATGTCTTGATTTCGCCCCAAGACAGGGCATTGATGCTCAGCAATATTCATGATGTTGAGAAATTTGAAATTGCGGCAGGATTGAAAAGGGATATTCAATGGAAATTCCAGGTTCTTGTTTTCAATGGTTTTGCTATGCAACATTGATTACCTGTTTTTTATCCTGTCTATTTTTCTCCATAGCAGCCCAGCCAAATAATCCCTTTGCAGCTGCTGGTGTTGCAACCGCGCCGACCAACCCATTCCAGAACAACAGCAGAACCGCCACTGCTGCAGCAGCGGCAGCAGCAGCTGGTGAGTCGCTTTGCCGAGCACGTGACGTCGGCTGTTTGCCTCGTTTCACAGCACAATAATGCCACGAATGCGGCTGCTAGTTTAGAGCATGTCCAGTTGTCCTCCACTTAAAGGTCAAAAGACTTCACTTTTTTCTCATTGATTAACAGATATAATGTAGGGACTTCTTGAAGAAGGCACATATTTTCTTTGGTTCCAATTATGAGTGTTTCAAGACAGAAACACCTCACTCTCCCACAACTCAGTTTAATCTGCAAACACCACACCACACCATTCCCACTGCCCTTCAGTGTCAGTAGTGTGACCGAGGTTGCACACCACTTGTTCTACTGTAGTTTACATTGACAGTATTTAACCTGCTGGTATCCTGTTGTGTTGCAGCCTCATTTGGCACCGCCTCCATGAGTATGCCTGCTGGATTTGGCAACACTGCAGCCTACAACCTCCCTACCAGCTTTAGTGGAACCTTTCAGCAGCCTTTTCCTGGCCAGGTGCCCTATTCGCAACCTACAGCGTATCCCCAGCAACTCAATGGTGTGTGTCTGTGTTTGTGGATAATGGCGTATTAAGAGCCACTAAAGCTAAAGAATGACAGTGCATGAAGATTACATTTGTTTCAGAAGAAGAAAGTGAATCCAACAACTGTAATATGTACTTGTGCAGGTGGAGGCTTTCCAGTCTTTGGCCAGGGCAAGCCAGTGTTGACTCCTTTTGGGCAGGCAATGGCTGCTGGACCAGCGGTCTCCAATAACCCTTTTCTGGTTCGTAAAACAAATATGTTTTAGAGTACATTTGATCTACAATTATTCACATACTGTTGTTATACAGTGAAACTCCTCTAGAACGAAACCTGCATGGGCGAAAATACCCCCTTATGTGAAAAAATCTTCATGCATTAACACAATTCCCATTCTCCTGCCCCCCATACGACGAAAAACCCCCTGTTGCGTTATACGAAATCATTTTGTCTGCTCCAGCCTCGCGAAGACATTCACTACAACGAAGTCTTATCCAACAGCGACCTCTACTGCTTCGTTCGAAAAAAGGCAACAGCAACCACCACACTGGTTTACATAGTGAACGATGTTTATTTCGGTCACAGCTGCGAGTTTCCTGGACCCAACATACTCATAGCTGCTCTGCCATTGGCTTGCCGAGCATCATCTTGGCCTCCGATTGGCCAAGAGGGACCTCACTGTCTATGTGTGTAGATACTGAAGCTAGATCCGTAGCATCCGATTAGCTGCTCAGAGTAAATTGCTTATGGCTC